GGGTTCTGCCCTTCAGTCTGGAAGGATGGATTCTCATATGCAAGTATCCACCCTGGTGGGGACTTCTTCAGCGATTCGTAGAAATGTCACTTTCAGAAAGGAACCTTAGTTTAGGATGTGAAGTATGTGTAAGTATGCAAAAATATGTCACATTTGCACAAAAAAATGGTTGGGTGTCTTTTGCCTTTCTGGTGGTGGACACGTGTTGGACTGAGTTTCTTGGGGGTGATTAACATCAAAATTTTTTAAATGAAAATGTCTTATTGACCCAGAACTTCCTCTTTATCTTAAACTAAGAGATACCGACTGAGTATTTCCTTATCCTACACTGTTTATAAAGGTTTCTTCTTCAGATGGATGGGTTTTAGTAAACTGGTTGAGTTTTTTTATTGGCGTATGTTAGTTTAAAATTTTACTTTAAATTATATTATTAATTAAATTATATACATTAAATTATCAATTCAATGTATAATTAATACATAAATTATGAATTCTATGGTACTATACTGTTTAATCATATATATTAAAATTATATTTGATGTGATAGTTTTCACCTTACAGTAGAATTTATCAAGTTTTCTTTAAAAACACTTATTGGTATCAGAGATACCTCCAGTATCATAAATTATGTGGAGCTAAGGTGATGTCACAAGGGTTTGCCAAGTACAGGACACTTTGCAAACCTAAGAATCTTATGTATAGCCTAGTCCCATTGCTGTGACGTTTACTTCAGTGAAATCTAGATAAAGACTTTGTAAGAGAAGAGCTCAATCATTTATTCAGCAAATATTTAATGAGCACTTGACCAGTGAGAGCTCTTCTCATCACCGGTGACAGAAAATCCAACCCAAACTAGCTAAAGCAAAAAGGGTACTTGGCATTGGAAACCTCAACACCGATGGCTATTGGATGTTATGAAGGAAAATAGATTCTTTTTTTTACAGGAATGCCTGATTGGCTCAGTTTAGTTAGTAAGCCCTGTGCTCGGCTCTGGGGAATGAATCAGCTCCTCAGTCCTGGCTAGGAAGCAGGGAGGGACACTGGCCGTGGGGACAACAATGTTCCTCCTCCTGTGTGCTAGGTTCCACGCTACGGACCCAAAAATGGATGGATGGGCACAGTCTCTTCACATCAGGAAGTTTACTGTCCACAGGCATAATCGTTTTGCATTTTCATCCAATTCCCTTTTGTCCACATCCTTAAATGACACAGGTTTGACACAATCAATTATTCCCCTGAAGTATGGAGCATATTTTGAAAAGAGCCTGTTCCTCTCATCCTGAATTTCATGTACAAGCCAGTTTGGTAGGTCAAGACCTGGCGGGGTGGGAGCTGACCCTAAACAAGCCCTCCGTTTCCCATGTGTTTCTGTGAGGAATGGCTCAGAAGAGATCGGTACCTTCTGCCTTCAGATGCCCAGTAGGGCAGGTCTGACTATTTCAAGACAAATGCCCAGGAGGTGCTCTTAGCCCTGGCTCGACCTTTAGGGAGGCACTGACACAAGAAAAATCGTATCTTACATGTTTTGAGCAATTGGTCTGAGCTCATTTGACCCTTGCAGCAACTCTATGCGGTTGTCGCTATAACTACCCCATTTTACAGATGAGGAAATGAATGAACTGTATAGTAAATAACATTTGATTAAAAGCCAAGACTCAATTCCCTCATCCCGGTCCTCTTGCTCAACTCCGTTTGGGGACCCATCGGTCATGCACACAGAAAATCTCATGAAAAATGTTAGTAATTCTTATGTTGCTTTCTGACAAATACTGGAGGGGCTGATATTAGCGTGACCTGTGATTTTATGCTGATCACTCTGGTGTGGGCCAGCAGCAAACCAATGATCAGGTGGCTATCTGTCTTCTAAAACTTGCTTTCTTGCCTGGGAGTGTTTAGCGGGCTTGCAGAAATGCCCTGGGGCTTTGGAATCATACAGTGCTGGGGTTCTAATCCCGGCCTCTGACTCAGTGTGCAATTTCTGGGTGAGTCAACCTCCTACTTGTTACTGGAGCCTTTCTTTTCTCCTCTGCAAAATGCAGTGATAATAGTACCTATGTGCCAATAGGAATGATGGGATTATTGAGAGAATTGAGTGAGATGTACCCTAAGCATTTTGCCCGGGTCCTTTGGAAGTGGTACTCTTGGTAAAGGGAAGGCAGTGATATTTTTTTCTGTGAGGCAGAAACTGCTGACGCTGGACTTGGCAAACACCACAGGAAATGGTGACCAGGAAGGAAGCTCCCTAGAGGAACCCTGGAGGAACAGGCTGCGACCAGAGTCCCTTAGTCAGTAGCAGTGACGTAGAGCATGCACCGACCTGCATCCCCAGCACCAGCCCAGTGCCTAGCACACACCTTAGAGTGGGGGATAGGGGGCGTTGGTGAGGGGGTCTCTACTTTCAGGGTCAGTGGGTATTGACTGTGTCGTGCCATCATTGAGATCCTTGCCCACAGACCAGGTCTCCCTGGGTTCAAATCCCAGCGCTATCACTTACCTGTTGTAGGGCTTTAGGCATACTACTTCACCTCTCTGTGCCTCAGTTTCCTCATTAGTAAAAGGGGATAATAACAGGGTCTCTATCCTTGGGTCAGTGTGTGGGTTAATTTAGTTGACTATGTGAGCCCTTAGAATAGGACTTGGCATCTCGTAAGTGCTGGTTGTTAGCACCAAGCTCCAGTCAGGCCCTGGAATACAGCATAGGCTGAACCACCATGTCAGTCTCCCTGGGGATTTATTGCAGTGGAAGATGAGATTTAAAAAACAATAATGTTTGTTTCAATTGAGGTACATGCTTTGAAAGAAAGTACATTTTTTTTATTAGGACAGGGGGTTCCTAATGAACCTTGTCTCTTCTATGTGGGAGGAGAGGTCCAGGGAATTGTGGAGAAAATTCCCCACAATTTTACCGGCAGGAGTAGACTTTTCTAGAAGGATGTGCAGAGCTCCCAGAAAAGGAGGGAGGGAAGGTGGAGTAGCTAGGCTCAAAAGCCTGGAAAAGGTGCCACAGGGCAGTAAGGTCTCATGCTTCTAGGTCCCCTCTCTTAGTCAGAATCAGTGTTAAACCGTCTTGCTCTTTCCTGAAGATTCTGATTTCTGGGCAAGGGCACCAGGCAGGCCTGAATCGGTCTTGAGAGAGGGGCAGGCATCTCGATGGACATTTCCTGACACTGAACCTAGGGGAAGGGTTGTTCTCCCAGCGGATATGAGTCAGGCTCAATGACAGCATCCCTTGGAAGTGACATCCAGTCAGGCCAGGCATTCTTCGATTTTTTGTGCCATAGGTACTTTCTTAGAATATTGTTTTTAAATGCATACGACACATAGGATTACCAAGGAAACCAAAGATAATCAAATATTAGAACAAAGAGGTAATATAACATGTATTTTTTTGTTAACTCATTAAACAATGAGATCTAGCAAGTGGGATCTAGCACTTGAGACCTATCGGGGATAATCGTTTGAGGTACCGCTAATACCACTGGATGGCTGCCTAATTTCATGATTGAAGGAAGTGCTAAATTTCAGTAGGAGATTAGAAGAAATAATGCAATTGTTTTTCCCACTCAAGGACTCCCTGATTTAAGCTCCGTCTCTCCTTGGCATTTTGTAAAAATGTCAACAGTACAAGGCTAAGTGGGAAAAAAAGCAACAGATTATAAAATAGTGATTTGCAGTTGATAGGATTTTTTTTGCCAAAAGAAAAACCCCAAAACCTCGCATTTGTGTGTGTATTAAATACACCTACGACAGTGCGTGAAGAGTACTTCATGCTTAAAGAAGGGGGCAATGAACGGAAGGATCGACCTCAGAGCTGCTGTGCTGTCTTCACAAGCCTCGTCCGGAGCGTCTCTGTGTCCCCAAGGGCGGCAGAGGGGCTGGCGAACGGCGGACGGGGCTGTTGCCTTGGTATCTCCTCTCCCAGCTCCTGAAAAACACCGCCGTTTCTCGTCAGTCCCCGGGGTCCTGGCGCACGCAGGGGCCGGCGGGTGGGGCCGACTCTCGGCGAGACCTGCCAGTCGCCCCGCATCAGCAGCCCCTCGGGCCGGCCTCAGATCCCCGGGCCTCCCTCCCCCTGGGGCAGCTCTCGCTGTCCGCGTGGGCCCCACCCCGCGGCGCGCCGACCGCGGGGCCGAGAGCAGAGCTGTGCGGGGGGCCCTGGGGCAACAGGGGGCGGGCAGAGACCCGCGCCCGCGAAGCCTGGCAGGCGTCCTCCGCCGGCTCCCCAGGCTGGCCGCGCTCGGGCGAGGCCCGCTACCCGGGGGCAGGGGCAGGTTCACGGGCCGGCAGCGTCTTCGCGTGGCAGAATGGCCAGGAGGCACGAACACAGGCAGCGCAGAGCTGGCGGTGGACGGGGTTTCCCTTCAGGCGCGGGCCCCTGTCGTTCCCACGTACCGGTTGCTTTGAAATCGGGATCTCCGCCTGGGCGCGCACCTCTCCCCGCTGGGCTCCAACGCGCGCGGCTGGTACAGTCAAGAGACGTGCGCGCCCGCGGGGGACACGTAGGCGAGTATCTTGATTCACAGGACTCGCTGGGCGTGGTGTGTGGGAGCCGCATGTTGCGCAGATCGAGGGGTTCCCAGACTTCCCCGTGGGGTGGTAATTGGTGACACGTTCCTTTGCCTTCCTAAGGGAGGACGAACTAAAAACAGTATTTAAACCCTTCACGACCGCGGCAGGACTCGAACCTGCAATCTTCTGATCCGAAGTCAGACGCCTTATCCATTAGGCCACGCGGCCGTCTGGCGACCGTAGCTCTTTGGACAACTCAAAAAGTAACATTACCATCCTTCGCTTGCCTGGGACAAATCCACCCGCTTCTTGAGCAGGGGAGGTTGGACCTGGGTTCCCTGAGTACCGCAGGGAAGGCCCACCCGGAAGTTCCCTTCTCCCCCCGCGGACGGTCCGCTCTACTTGCGGCCCTCCTATTGGTCGCGCCGGGACTCTCCTGCCGCCTCTAGGGTAGCCGCGGGACGGCGCGGGGCGCAGACGGGAAGTTGCGGCTGCCAGCGAGGCGAACTGGTGAGGGTGAAGGCCACACACCACCCCGAGGCTGCGTAGGCCGCGCGGAGGGGGCCGCCGTGTCGCCGCCCTGGGGAACTGACCCGCAGACCGGGAAGCACCGGACAGACCGAGGTTTCCGGCGGGTTCGGCTGGTGGGAGGCCGGGTCGCCGAGCGGCGGCGCGGCCCCTTCCTCTCCAGTCGGAGCGAGGCCGGAGCTGGGCGGAGGCTGGTCCCAGGGCGCACCGCGGCGCCGCCGCCGGGCACCGCGGGCGGCCGGGGCGCGGGGCCGGTCGACGCCCCCTGCAGGAGCCCTGGGCCCGCGGGGTCCCGGCCCGGGCGTGGGTGGGGGCCCCAGGGACGGCGGCCCACCCGGGTTCGAATCCGCGTGCTGGCACCTATCGGCGCCGGGCCCTGGGGCCGCGGCAAGCGAGCTAATGGCAGCCACCCTTGGGCCAGCGCTTGCTTGGGGCCGGGCCGCGCGACCTTTTCGCCCTGTGTCGCCCAGGCAGCAGTCCTGTATGACAGGTAGAATCCCTAACCCCATTTTACAGGTAGGAAATTGGGGCTTTATAGAGAATGCCCAAGGTCAAACATCTCCTGAGCCAGAGCCGGAATTCAAACCCGCGTCACCCTGCCATAGAATCCGCACTCTTAACCACTGCCTTCACCTTCCCCAAGTTCACTGATGAACCTACGTGAACCTCAGTTTCCCCAGGAAGGATATTGCTATTTCCCAGGGTTGTCTGAAACTTAACTGAGAAAATGGACCTGAAAGCGCCTGGCCTGCTGCCTAGGACGCAGTAGGTGCTCAAGGAATGATTACTATTCCTGTAACACTAATACATATGTAATAAATAACACTTTCTGTCATCTGTCTCCTTTAGGATTTGTGGGTGGAAGGCAGGCATGGTCAGACCCATTTCCCTGTCAGGAAAGCAGAGACAGGACGTGTCTCTCTCCACGTCTTTCAGCCAGTAAAAGCAGCCAAGCTGGAGCCCAAAGCTAGGTGTCCTGACTCCCAGCGGGGGCCTCCCTGCACCAACCATGAGCCGCTTGCTCTGGAAGAAGGTAGCCGGCGCCGCCGTCGGGCCAGGGCCAGTTCCAGCTCCGGGGCGCTGGGTCTCCAGCTCCGGCCCCGGCCCCGGCCCCAGCGACGGGCTGCCGCAGCCGCCGCAGCTGCAGGTGCCATCCTCCGAGGGCGGGCAGCTACGGCACAACCCATTGCACATCCAGATGCTCTCGAGAGGGCTCCACGAGCAAATCTTCGGGCACACCGGGGAGGAGCCCGGCGAGGCCGCGGTGCGCCGCAGCATCGAGCACCTGCAGAAGCACGGGCTCTGGGGGCAGTTGGCCACGCCCTTGCCAGACGTGGAGCTGCGCCTGCCGCCCCTCTATGGGGGCAGCCTGGACCAGCACTTCTCCCTCCTGGCCCAGAAGCAGAGCCTGCCCTACCTGGAGGCGGCCAACTCGCTATTGCAGGCCCAGCTGCCCCCCCGGCCCCCGAGCTGGGCCTGGGCGGAGGGCTGGACCCGGTACGGCCCCGAGGGGGAGGCCGCACCCGTGGCCATCCCCGAGGAGCGGGCCCTGGTGTTCGACGTGGAGGTCTGCTTGGCAGAGGGAACTTGCCCCACATTGGCGGTGGCCATATCCCCCTCGGCCTGGTAAGTAGGGTCTGGGGTCAGGGGACTCTAGCTCACCTGGGGGGCCCAGCCTAATTGGTACAGTGAACAGTTACTGAGCTCCCACTGTGTGCTGGGGAGGAGGGTGCTCCACTAGGGACTGTGGACTTGGCGTGAACTAGAATAGGTGTGACCCCAGCTTCTACAGAGCTTGCTTTATTGTGGGAGGATGCAGGCAGAACACAGACACCCCAGCACATGTCAGGTGGTGATGGGGCTCTGTGGGGAGCTACAGTGGAGTGCTGGACTTGAGACTGAGATCACCTGGTTTGGTACCATACCCACTCCCGTGATAGCTTCTAGTCCAAGATATTCGAACAGTGTTTCTGTTGGGGGTGTTCATGGTTATTTTGGGCAAGAGAAATCTCCCTTTTTTGGAACTGCCCTAGGCAATATGAGACATACTCCCTTAAAAGCCTGACACATGCCCCCCCTCAGCCCCGGCCCCCTCCCTGCCAGCATCCCCCACTGATCACTCCCAGTTGAGAAACATCGCTTCCTTCCCCCAGCCTCCCATGCAGGCATTTCAGTCCCCAAAAGGTATATCGAGTCTCTCTTCTTTTTAAGTAATTTTCTAAGTGCTACCCAAGTTTCTTTTCAAACAATGATGGCAGTACTGTTTCTCCCCTTCTTTTATTCTTCATTCCAGGATTAAAATACTATTTACAACCCTAATGCTTTCAGGCATGGCCAGCAAAAAAGTTGGCAGTTTCTTTATTCCTATTGGAAGCTACATCTTTGTAAAGAAAGCTGCGAAATGTTAAATATGCAGTTGAAAATGGTGAAAACATGGCTAAATAGATAAGGTAGGCATTAATGGCTGAAAAGAGCAAAACTAGATGATTCCACATTGATGTAGTTCCAGCTGAGAATCTCAGTGCTTACAATGTAACCTGATGGTCAAAACAGGGAATACGTCCATCATTTGAGGAGGTGAAGTAGGCTGTGGTGGCTGAAAGAACATGAGGCGACCAGGGACAGGAAAGACTTGTTTTTTGATCTCTTGGTCATTTTGAACTATTTACCTATTTATCAAGTCCCATTTTTTCTTTTCCTCCTCCTTCCGTCCCTAACTTTCCCCTTTTCCCTTCCTTCCCATCCTCCTCTCGTTCTCATCCCATGCTTGCCAGTGGTCCTGGGGACACTGCTCAGTTGGCAGTGTGGCAGGAGTCAGAGCTGAGGCCTGGGCCCAGACTGGAGCCTTCCTCCAGGGGCCTGACTGAAACGGGGGCAGGCCAGCTGGGGCCCCCACAGCAGTCCGCTTTTTACTTGGGCACATCCCTGCCACGTGGCCACGGGACACAGGTACCTGACCAGCCTGTGATTTCCAGTGGGAGGGGGAAGCCTGCACTGACCCACAGGCAGCTTCCCAAAGGCTGTTGGTAAGGGTTTGGTCATCAGACTAGAGGGACATTACCCAGGTGGTCAATAGTTATCCAGAATTTACAGGAAAAGTATAATATGACATTGGTTCTGAACTCATCTTAAACTTACCAAAGGTGTTCGCGTTTTGACTTTCTTCTTTTTTATCACAAATAAATTTATAATAAGATGGCTCTCATGCACAGCTGCAGACCTGGATCTTGATGGCAGTATGGCTTTTAATTGCAGCTGAAGTCCCTGTCATCACCATAGCCTCAGACATTTGACATCCTTCAGCCTTTTCTTCTTTGTTGTTTTTAAGAGCTTTGATGTGCTGAACTGAAAGGGGAGGAGGTTTCAGCTTGAGTCCCTGAGCGTATTCCCAGCATTTGGACTGTGAGTTAGATTTTACCAGGTTTAAAACTAGGAGCCTCTTTTTGCCCCTCCCTCAAATGTTATGTTGGTTAAACTGCTGAGGCAGGTGACTCCTCCTCCCCTCCATGAGGGCTGCAGGAAGCTGCTGCACAGCCGTGGTGGCCACACATGTGGCCTCGTCACTCACTGGGATGTGAGTGGCTGTGACCCTTTGGCATAATCTGCGGCTCGCAGCTGGCTTTCCTCCACGGTCACTGCCCCGGGCGCAGCCCGTGGATCTGCAGCAAACTCCAGCCTTTTCCTGAACTGCATCGGGTCCCCGGCAGGCAGCAGGCACCCCCATCCCTCCCCCCCGAGCATATGTGCACATTTCCTCCATTCTGGCGCTGCCCGTGGTCTCTCAGCAAGGGTGGTTGCTCCAAGAGGCACACACCTTCTACAAGGCACATGGTTTGCTCTTTGTCCTTCTCAATCTCCCAGCCGTCAGATGATTCATCCTGTACATGTGCGCAGCATTTGCCTTTTTTTTTTTTTGCCACTTTTGATTTTTAAAAAATTTCCACTTGGGTTCTTTTATAATTCTCTCTCTTCCTTACTGGCACTTTGAACACTAGCTGTCTTGTGCTTCTAGACGTGAGGGGTTGATAATGTTCATACAGTACCTCAGAGCCAAGCACAGACTTGGTGGACACCTAAGGAACACCTCGATGGCCCAGCTAAATGCCTGTGTGGGACACCCAGCGCTGTGGCACTTTGCTCCATTTTTACCTGTGGAAGTTGAAAAGTAAAGCAGCTTTTGCAACTACCCCTGAAACACTGCTCCCACCACCCTGCTTGACCCCTAGTTCAGCATTAGGAGCACCCCTTGGTCTTGTGTCCCCAGCCGCTAGCGCAGAACCTGGCATGTGATGGTGGGTGCACAGCAGGCGGCAGTGCCTCTGCTGAACCTACCCGCCGCTGCCTCCCTCCCACAGGTATTCCTGGTGCAGCCGGCGGCTGGTGGAAGAGCGTTACTCTTGGACCAGCCAGCTGTCGCCGGCTGACCTCATCCCTCTAGAGGTCCCCGCCAGCGCTGGCGACCCCACCCAGCGGGATTGGCAGGAACAGTTAGTGGTGGGGCACAACGTTTGCTTTGACCGCGCCCATATCAGGGAACAGTATCTGATCCAGGTAAGACTCCTGGGGCCAGCTGCAGGTTCTGCTGTGGGGCGGCCTACGAGCCATGATCTTTGGCTTGCCAAGGCATGGCTTTTCCTGGCCAGTGTCTCCACTGCCTTGGTAGCAGCCGCTGGGCCTTCTGTTGACCAGCCCTGCCTCTGCTGCTCAGCTGTTCTGTTCCCAGGACCTGCTTGGTATAGGACCCAAGTGTTCACAGAGGACTAAGCCCTTTTCTCTGTGGGGCATTTGGAGCTCAGCGGGGGTCTTTGGAGGCTCTAGCCACACAGGCTCACATCCTGCCTCAGCCACTGGGGAACAGGATGAGCTCCCAGTTTCTTTATCTGTAAAGGTAGTGGAAGCTACCTCAGGATTATTGGGAAGGTTTGAACAGTGCCCATGTCAGACACTCAGAAGCATGTCTGGTGCGTGGTCGTGGCATTCTTGATTTCGCTGAAGGTGCTTTTCACTGTGTCCTCACGATGAGCCCCAGGAGAGAGCAGGGCCAGTGAGAGCGGCCTTGGCCTGGAGCCGGCCTGTAGTGGATGCCGAGGCTCTGACAGCCTTGCTGACTTGCCTGGGGCCACAAAGCTTGTGAGTGGCAGGGCTGGGGATGGGGGCTGAGCCTGGGGGCTCCGAAGGCCTTGTTCGGCCATTTCGTTCCCAACGTCCTCTCAGAACTGTTGCTGGGAGAACTTGGGTGTTGGGATTGAGCCAGGCCTGCACCTCCAAGGCTGGCCGGGACTCGGGTGGGCGGGCCCCTCACAGGTGGTGGGACACACATGAGCAAGCATGGCATGAGGATTTGCTGTCTTCAGTGCTGGAAGGCCGTGTGATGGGAGGAGAGGCTGAGCTGGGGCTGGTGGGTTGGCACCAGTGAAGTGGTTGGTAGGCTGGCCCCTCAAAGCGGCCTCTGTCCTCCTGCCCTTCCCCCCAGGGCTCCCGCATGCGCTTCTTGGACACTCTGAGCATGCACATGGCCATCTCGGGGCTCAGCAGCTTCCAGCGCAGTCTGTGGGTGGCAGCCAAGCAGAGCAAGGGCAAGGCCCGGCACCCCACACAGCGAGCCCAGAAGTCCCGGAACAAAGCCAGCGGCCCAGTGGTGAGAGCCCTCTGCGGGGGGCACTGCCTGTCTGACCTGAGGCCACGCTGATCTTCTGTGCCCCTTGCTCTGGCCCCCCAGATCTCATCCTGGGACTGGCTGGACATCAGCAGTGTCAATAATCTGGCCGATGTGCACAGCCTGTACGTGGGGGGGCCTCCCTTGCGGAAGGAGCCACGAGAACTGTTCGTTAAGGGTAGCATGAAGGACATCCGGGAGAACTTCCAGGTACGGTGCTGGCGGGGGGCTCTGTGGAAAGGGGCTGCGGCAGATCCCTTCACTGGCCCTGGGGAGTAGAGCTGCCAGACCTCACCCTGAAACCCGGTGGTGGGAGTGGGCTGACTGCCCACCCAGCATCTTCCTGTCACCTGTGCCAGGACCTGATGCAGTACTGTGCCCAGGACGTGTGGGCCACCTATGAGGTTTTCCAGCAGCAGCTACCGCTCTTCATGGAGAGGTGAGGGCGGCCTCTGGGGGCCAGTGGGTAGCCAGGACTTGGGCCCGCTGTAGTAAGTGATGCTGGGTCTTCTTCAGGCGAGGGTCTGAGCCTTTCTGGGCTGAAAGAATGGAGCCATTCCATCCCGTGGTGGCCACCTCGGTCCTGTACTCTGGGTTTCTGGAGGGGAGGGCCACGTGCTGTGCTTGAGTTTCTTGTGCAGGGTCCTGGGTCATTTAAGCATCCTTTCTGTACCCGGATCCTGAGCCAAGGGCCTCCTGTCCGTCTCAGTTTTGTTTGCTAGTGAGTCAGTCTTCCGGAGTGGTCCGAGTCCTAAATGTCAGCTAGACCTGGTTCGGATCTTGACTTTCTTAACCAGCTCACTTGGCCTTGGGCAGGGTGCTTGGATTCTCTGAGCCTCAGTGTTCTCATCTGTGAAACATACAGGGATATACTTGACCTCCCAGTCACGAGGTTTGTACGTGATCGTTTGTACGTGTATCTTACCCGCACAGTGCCTGGCACTGAACCATTACTGCAGACATGGCAGCCATTTTCACTTTGTGATCTGTAATTCCCACATTACCCCTGGGGATGGGATATTTCCATTTTATAGATACAGGAACTGAAGCTCAAAGAGGAGAAGTGACTTCTGCAGGGTCTCATGACTAGGAAGTGGTAGAGCTAGGGTCTGACTTTCGATCTGTGCCACGTGGGTTAGGTTGAGGCCTGCCAAACCAACTCAAGAGTCAGCCGAAGTCCTGCCTCCTCGGGTCATTTATGGCATCCCTGGTGTTTGCTCCCAAGGTGTCCTCACCCGGTGACTCTGGCTGGCATGCTGGAGATGGGTGTCTCCTACCTGCCTGTCAACCAGAACTGGGAGCGTTACGTGGCGGAGGCACAGAGCACCTACGAGGAGCTCCAGCGGGAGATGAAGAAGTCACTGATGGATCTGGCCAATGATGCCTGCCAGCTGCTCTCAGGAGAGAGGTAGCCAGGCCTTGGGTGGGCAGGATCCAGGGAGGGGACGGGCAGGCGGGAAGCCTGGCCTTTGGCTTGGCCTTAGCTCTGCCCTGGTGGGCTGGCCCTGCAGGTACAAAGAAGACCCCTGGCTCTGGGACCTGGAGTGGGACCTGCAAGAGTTTAAGCAGAAGAAGGCAAAGAAGGTGAAGAGGAAGGAGCCAGCCTCAGCCAGCAAATTGCCCATCCTGGGGGCTGGGGCCGCTGGGGACCTCGAGGATCAGGAAGGTGGGGAGCATGGGTGGGAGGTGGGGCAGGGGTGGGCCCTGGGAAGGAGTTGCTCCAGCCCTCTAGAGATGAGTCAGCTGGGCAGTCTTTCTGGGGCCTTCCCCTGGTCCTGATGTCCTCCCCTGCCCTGCACAGACCCCGGCCCCCCCAGTGAGGGGGAGGAGTTTCAGCAAGAAGCCCAGGCCCGCATCTGCTTGGAGCAGCTGAAGGGGACCACAGAGCTCCTGCCCAAGCGGTCTCAGCACCTTCCTGGACACCCCGGGTGAGCCCTGTCCACCCTTCCCCCCAGCACAGACTCCCTTATTCTGGGCCTCAGCACGGGGTGGGGTGCATGTGGTCCCCGACTGACCTGCCTGTTCTGCTGGCTTCCGGTCATGCTGTCACTTGTCTCCTCAGACCCCTGGCTCACGGGACTCTTTCAGTGCTAGTGTGCTGAGCACCTTGCTGTGTGCGGGGCCCTGGCAGCCACTGGGGCTACAGGTGGGAGCACAGTTCCATCTTCCCAGTAGCTCTGCTCTGGGAAGAGCCAGGCTTGCAGACCAGCTAGTGCAGCCAGTGTTTACATCCGTGATGAAACAGAAGAGTGGGCACTCTTGAGACAATGCCTCGTCTGCTTGGGGCAGTTGAGAGGCATCCTTGAGGATGCGGCCCTTCGTTCAAGCCTCATAGCTGGTACAAGGAACTGCAGGGTGCTGGCGTTGCACCCGAGTGGCCGCGAGAGCGAGGCCACCTTGATTCTTACATACTGTGCCCTGGTGCTGGCTTGCCTCACCCTCCTGTTAGCGGGTGACTGGCATGTGGGAGAGCGCTCTGAAGGCCCTGGTGTGTTTCCAGAGCAGTGGGGGGCAGGATGGGGGCAGATCTGTTTGCTCCTCTGGCTGGGAATACCCTGCAGGAACTGGGGCTTGGGGAGCGGCCAGAGCCTGTGTGTCCTGCCTTCTGACTAGTCCAGGGAGGCAGAGCTATTCTGGGGGTCTCCACAGGGGTCCTGGCTCATCCTAGAGGGAAGGGCACGGTGACTTTGGCTGAGGTTACCAGGAAAGCCTTGAGGCCTTGAAGAGTGGGTGGGGCCGGGTGGGCCCATCATGGGAGAGGGGACCTTCCTTTCAGTCCCTTGCTGTCCTGCCACCACCACTGTGACGCTGCTCTCTTCTGGTGGGGCATAGGTGGTACCGGAAGCTCTGTCCTCGGCTAGATGACCCCACGTGGACCCCCGGCCCCAGCCTCCTCAGCCTGCAGATGCGGGTCACACCCAAACTCATGGCGCTGACCTGGGATGGCTTCCCCCTGCACTTCTCCGAGAGGCACGGCTGGGGATACCTGGTACCCGGGCGGCGGGACAACCTGGCCAAAGTGCCAGCAGGCACTGCCCTCGCACCAGCTGGGGTGGCCTGTCCCTATAGGTAAGCCTCGGGCCCGGGGGAGGAAGGGACTGGAGTCTAGGGACCCCTTCCCCTTGCTGGAGAAACCAGGCCCTGCTCAGGCGGGTGGGAAGAGCTTGGGTGTGAGAGTCGGGGTTTGAGCTCTTTGTTCCAGAGCCCTGCAGGGTGTTGAGGGTGGTGTTGAGGGGTTACTGCTCAAGCCGGAGAGTGGAGGCCCTGCTCTTTGGCCCGCAGCGTAGCTGCTTCACAGGAACATGCGGAGGGAGGGCTGTCAGCAGTGGGGATCTTCTGAGTGTGACTTAGCACTGATTGTATTCTGTGCCAGGAAACCTTGTGCGGGGCTTTCCTCACTGGATTCTAAGCAGCCCCATGAGATAGGCCTGTGATCCCCATTACAGAGCTGACAGAGCAAGGCCCAGTTGGCTTGAGATTCCAAATCCTGAGCTTTTGACAGGCAGGTGTTGGGGAGAAGCCATGGCACTTGAGTTGGCCCAGAACTGAGAGTTGTGGCTCTGCAGGGCAGCTGGTCTCGCGGGGGCCTTCAGCTGGGGTCAGCCTGCTCCTTTGGGTCGTGAGTGGCTGGGAGCTCACGCCCACTGCCCCGCCCCCAGTGCTCTTCTTGGGATGGCAGCAGCTCTGTGGTAGAGGAGGAGCTTAGACTGTAGTCAGACCAGGCCTTGAGCCCTAGCCTGCCACCCATGTGCTGTGTCACTCTCAGTGTGTCACTCCCTGTCTAAAAGTCAGGAAAGCACTGTCCACCCCTGCCTCAGAGCCAGTTCTGAGGACTGGGCAGAGGGAACTGGGCAGTGCACAGCGTGCGGCCTGGCCTGGGGCAGGCACCCAGTAATCGGGCTGCCTCTGCTGTTCTCTGCCCAGAGCCATCGAGTCCCTGTACAGGAAGCACTGTCTTGAACAGGGGAAGCAGCAGCCCGAGCCCCAGCAGGCGGGCCTGGTGGAGGAGTTCCTGTTCACGGACAGCAGCGCCGTGTGGCAGACGGTGAGGACAGGCTCTGAACCTGAGCTTGGTGGGCAGTCTCTGTTCCCTCCTGAGGATGGGCAGCCTTTGGGGGCGGGCACTGGATGTGATGACTCGTTCACCTCAGGCTGGCCTGGGCTGTCTGTTGAGGCAGGGGAGAGGGCTGGTGGGACTGGGCCGACCGAGCCATGCTTCACCCCCTTGCACCTGGGCCCGTGCAGGTGGAAGAACTGGGCTGCTTAGAAGTGGAGACTGAGGCCAGGATGGAGAACTGGGAAGCATCAGTTCCAGGTCAACCCCCAGCTTTGGTGAGCGGGGTGCCTGCTAAGGTTCTCGGGGCGGGTGCTGGGCGGTAGGACCCTCCTCCTGTGCCCAAGTAGTTGTTCCCCAACATAGAGTTCCTGAAGTCTTGGGCGGGTTGGGAAATGCCGTCCGGCCCTTGGGTGGCTCCAGTTGTTGGAGACCAGAGAGGAAGCCTGAGACCCTGTGGCCACCCTGTCATTTTCCACACTTACCTGCGTACTATTTCAGGCCCTTTTCCCACCCCGACCCCATGGCCCTTGCTGAATGCAGGTGCTGGCTCAGGGCCTTACCTAGGTGTGTGGCCCCCACAGACTGCTGCTGGTGGCCCCAAAGCCAGCCAACCAGCCTATCACCATGGCGACGGACCTTACAATGATGTGGATGTCCCCGGCTGCTGGTTCTTCAAGCTGCCTCACAAGGTGTGTGCTCTGTCCCTGTCCCTCCCCGTTCCTCGGGGCCTTCCAGAGTGACTCCGGCCGGGAGGCCGCCCTTCTCGTGGGAATGACGTTAGTAATGGGGCAGAGGGTGACGCAGGCAAATATCCACATCTCTGAGCCTTTGTTTTCCTTCTGGAAATTGGGTGGTGGGGTCGTGGTGGTGGATTAAATGACATGGCACACGTCTGTCAAGTGTCTGGCACCACGTGTGTTCTGTGACTGTTGACTGATGGCTGTTATAGTAGGTCCCCCCTTATCCGTTGCTTTGCTCTCCGTGCTCTCGGTTACCTGCAGCCCGGAAGCAGATGATCCGACTTAACCATCAGAAGGTCGGCAGTAGTAGCTCCATCGTGATGCCCATGTCACTCCCCTCATTCTGTCTCATCACACAGGTGTTCTGTCATCTCATGTCATTGCAAGAAGGGCATGTGCAGTACGATAAGCTGTTTAGGGACAGACACAGACCACATGCACATAATTTTTATTGCAGTATATTATTATAATTGTTCTACTTTATTAGTAGTTGGCAGTCTCTTACTGTGATTTATAGAGTATCACAGGTACGTATGTATAGGGAAAAACAGTATACAGAGGGCTCACTGCTGTCCCTGGTTTCAGGCATCCACTCGGGGGGTCTTGGAACGTATCCTGACAGATAAGGTGGTTGCTGTATTGCGAGGGAAGCCACATGCCTGTGCATGTGGGGTGTGTTGCAGTCAAGGATGTCTCCCGACGGCTCTGCTCGAGGTGCTGGGCAGAGCCCGGGTACACAGGGTGTCAGTTCCCCAGCCAGGGGTCTGCCACCTGCTTCCAGCCCCTGCCTCCTTTGCTCTCCTCAGGATGGTGGTGGTTGCAATGTGGGCAGCCCCTTTGCCAAGGACTTCTTGCCCAAGATGGAGGACGGCACTCTGCAGGCTGGCCCAGGAGGTGCCAGTGGGCCCCGTGCCTTGGAAATCAACAAAATGATTTCTTTCTGGAGGAATGCCCATAAGCGTATCAGGTGGGTCACCGTGGGAGAACAGGGACATGCCTGGCTGTGACCCTGGCCAGGCTGCTGACACCCTGGGATTCCCTCCCCACCTCCCGCCCGGGTACCTCGACTCACCTGTGCTGCAATGGAGGGAGAGCCCGGCTGTGGGCTAGAGGCCTGGCTACTTGTGGTCCATGTGACCTCAGGCAAGTCTCTCACTCTCCAGCTCATCTTCTGTTTATGTGAGAAGGTGGTGCTTTTCTGGACCTTGATGGCCCCTCCCAGCTCCAAAAGAGCCCCTTGGTATAAGCCGCTGGAGCCATGGGATATGGCTGAGGACCGTGGAGGGCTGGTGGCCTGTAAGCTGTTGGGGGCTGGGAGCTGGGTCCCGTCTGCTGGGAGTGGCAGATGGGTTCATCTTGGAGGCTGCTTCCAACGGGGTTGTGGCCGCCAGCAGCATGAGCTTCTGAGAAGAGCGCCGCGGTGGGCTGGCCAGGTCTGCCACGAGCAGGGAGAGGCCGTGGCGGCCGGGCTGGTGCTGGGCGCCTCACAGATAACTCAGGATAAAGGCAGAAGCTGCCTCCAGAGCCTGGCCAGGTCCCAGGCGGCTTACTCCTGGAGGAGCTCGCTGGGCCCCAGGCCTAGGTTGTGCCCGAGCTCACGCTGAGTCAAGTCAGTGGGTTGAGGGTGGGCAAGGAGGGGGCACAGCAGCTCCTGGGGGGCAGTGAGGGCTGTGGTGGGAAGGAGTGGCCTCTGCTCTCCTTGGCTGCGCTAAGCCTCGCCCTGTCTGTCCCGCAGCTCCCAGATGGTGGTGTGGCTGCCCCGAGCAGCTCTGCCCCGTGCTGTGACCAGGTATGGCCTGCCAAGTGGTTGTGGGGGACAGTGGCCCTGAGTGGTGGGTCCTCGACCAGAGCAAGTTGCTGAGACACATGTTCTCTCCCACCCCCCACCCCCAGGCACCCAGACTACGATGAGGAAGGCCGCTATGGGGCCATCTTGCCCCAGGTGGTGACTGCCGGCACCATCACCCGCCGGGCTGTGGAGCCCACGTGGCTCACTGCCAGCAACGCCCGGGTACGTGTCCCTGCGCCGCTGCTCCTGTTCTTCCGTTCCTGGGACTCTGGAAACGGGTTGCAGAGGGCCTTTAGTGAGGAGCATGAAAAGGGGCCTAAGATCCAGGTCAGGCAGGACTTGGTCCAAATGTGGCTTCACAGCTCAACCGTTACGTCAGCAAGTGTGTTCTGGGCACCTGGCTCCTGGCCAGACATTGACAAGGTGTGATGGCACAGCTCTTGGGTTCCGATGGGGCCCAGAATGAGGCCAGGTAGAGTACGATTCTGTCACCCCATTGCTTATAGGTGGCCCTCCCTGGAGCTGTGGGGTTTGGGGCAGTGCTTTCTGGCATTCCCTAAAACCATGCCCACAGGAAAGGCCCCAGCATTCTGTGAAGTCCAGGAAGAGCGGAAAGAGTCTCCCTGGGGTGTCTAGAGAGGGCCTGACCTCACTCTTCCTGCAGCCTGACCGAGTAGGCAGTGAGTTGAAGGCCATGGTGCAGGCCCCACCTGGCTACGTGCTCGTGGGTGCTGACGTGGACTCACAGGAGCTGTGGATCGCAGCTGTGCTTGGAGATGCCCACTTTGCCGGCATGCATGGTGAGCAGGAGCCAGGGCTGGGGCAACGTGGGGGCACCCAGGTTGCTGGCGGGTTCCTGAGCCTCCTCTCTCACCCCTGCCTTATACCACAGGCTGCACAGCCTTTGGGTGGATGACACTGCAGGGGAGGAAGAGCAGGGGCACCGACCTGCACAGTAAAACAGCTGCCACAGTGGGCATCAGTCGGGAGCACGCCAAGGTCTTCAACTATGGCCGCATCTATGGGGCCGGGCAGCCCTTTGCTGAGCGCCTGCTAATGCAGTTCAACCATCGGCTCACAAGGCAGGAGGCAGCCGAGAAGGCCCAGCAGATGTATGCCGTCACCAAGGGCCTCCGCCGGTGAGGGCCCCTCCACCCGTTACCTGCAGGGCCTCAGGCCTGCTTTGCTGCCTGTCCCTGCCCCCATGTCCCGCCTCTTCTGTTACCCCAGCCCTCAGCTGGCCCTCCAGCCCTCTTGCTCCAGGGTGGTATGTCCTTGGCTTGTGGCCTGTGCTTGTGTAAAGCCTTGACCAGTTTGTCTTGTAGGGTTAAAGCTGTTCGGTTATGTGCTGTCAGGTGGCTGCGGGTCAGCAGCTGGGATGGTGCACAGTAACCACCAGCACGGGGGCTGCAAACGCACATGCCTGCAGGGATGAGCGCAAGTGAGGCACGTGTGTGAGAGGAGGTGCTGATGGGTGGGTGCCCTGGGAACTGGACGCTTTAGACTGACTCAGAGGACAAGGGCACAGTCTTATTAACTCTCCAGCTAGTTTCTTCTTCTGCTGTGCGCTCAGTGCCTCGGCAGGCTCCCAGGAGGGTGTCAGGAACTCCCTTAGGTGCGGTATGCTGTGTCCGTAGCTGACCTCCTCAGGAGATAAACAAGGGCTGATAGAGTGGTGACTGCCTGTGCAGCAGGGGAGCCGAGTCCTGTCCAGAGTCGGGGAGAGGGCAGGGTGCTGGCGAGGGCACTGGGCCTTAGTAGGGAGACTTTGAAGGCCTCTCAGAGGAGTGTGGACCGAGGGCACCTCCAAGCAGGTGAATGACACAGCTGTGGAGCCTTTGGGGTACCATCTTGGTGATGTCTGAGGTCACACTGAAGCTGGGAGCCTGGGGTGGCAGAGGCTGAAAAGGGTCAGCCAGGTGTGGCTGTTGTCACCCTCTCCCCTTCGAGGAGCACCTCATCGTTCCTCCCCCAAACCTGCAGTGACAGCCCTTGCTGTGGCCTGAACTAGGACCTGCTGCCTGTTGGTCATTGGGCTCAGTGTCCAAGGCATGGGGACAGTGGTAACGGGCAGGCTCCCGCGTTGGAGCAAAGCCTGTGTTCCTCTCTGTGTGCCACCTGGCTGGGACCGCATTAAGTCACAGCCTCTCCGAGCCTGTTCCTGGAGATGCAGTGAGGTGGTGTGTGAGCACTTCCAGCCCTGGGCTTGGTCCATGGAGACACACCCACAGGAATGATGTCGGTGACATCCCACCAGGTATCGGCTCTCGGATGAGGGCGAGTGGCTGGTGAGAGAGTTGGACCTCCCTGTGCACAGAACCGAGGATGGCTGGGTTTCCCTGCAGGATCTCCGCAAGATCCAGAGAGAAGCCTCAAGGAAGTGAGAACCTTCTGGGTGTTAGAGATGGAGGGAGGGTCTGGGCCAGCCCCTGCAGTGCTGGGATGCTTTGTTTTTAGCACTGAGAAGCTGGACAAAGCTCGCCCTCCTCCTTTTCCTGGCCCCCCAGATCGCACTGGAAGAAGTGGGAGGTGGTCGCTGAAAGAGCGTGGAGTGGGGGCACAGAGTCAGGGATGTTCAACAAGCTGGAGAGCATCGCCACAGCGGACGCCCCTTGTACGCCGGTGCTGGGGTGCCGCATCAGCCGAGCCCTGGAGCCCTCAGCTGTCCGGGGAGAGGTAGTTTCCTAGACATGGAAGAGAGGGGTCACGGGGAGGGCGGGCTCCCAGACCACCTCCTACCTGAGTGAACTGCTGTGGGGCAGAATCCCTCACCTGTGCCCACCTTCCTCATCAGTTCATGACCAGCCGCGTGAACTGGGTGGTACAGAGCTCTGCTGTGGACTACTTACACCTCATGCTTGTGGCCATGAAGTGGCTGTTTGAGGAGTTCGCCATTGAAGGGCGCTTCTGCATCAGCATCCACGATGAGGTCCGCTACCTGGTGCGGGAGGAGGACCGCTACCGTGCCGCCCTGGCCCTGCAGATCACCAACCTCCTAACCAGGTACGTGGGGCTGGGCCTCACGCTCAGTGCAGGACTTTGCTTCGGGCTGAGTGTGATGTGTGAGTTCTCATCTTCCCAGGAATGTTTCAGCTCTTACACACTTTAAAAAAACTCAGTCTTACAAAAGACTGGCCTCAACTTCTTAAAAAGACTTCTTAGGTTTGAAGTGTCGTACAGCAGGACCAGACCCCTAAGGTAGTCAGGAAGCGGCGGTCAGGAGCGTGTCCAGAGAGCAGTTCACGAGGTGTGCTCCCGTAGGAACTCACCTTTCTGTTTTGAAAATCAAATGACAAGGCTTTCCTCAATTCAGAGGGAATTGAGATGTTTATCTTTCATTTGTAGATGTTAATGGAGAAACTCAAATGTGAATTTTAAAATTTTATATATTCAGTTGTATTTTCATATAGTAAAAGTCCTAGTTTATATGGTTGAATTAAATGACATTACAGTTCCATGTTGCTGTTACTCAGAACCTGGGCAATTATTTATTCTTCTCAACACTTGTCTCCACTGCCCTCTTCACTCACCATCTCCCTGGACTTATACTGACACTTAACCAAAACTAACACTGTCCTCAGTTACTCAGACTTTTGGCCCAATAATTGAAAGAAACTTTACATCAATAAAAATGTACCAAACTGGAAGAACAGGTGTGTTTTGAGTCCATAATTGCCATTTCCTGATACCAGTGGGATGTGGCAGCTGCTGGCCTGTCAGCTTTCTTGAAGGCAGAGCTGGTTCGGGGAGGCCTGCTCCAGGGGACACTGGTCCCTGCAGTGCTGGGGCCTTTGTTCACGGGGGAGGGGAGGGGGCCCGCGCCACTGAGCGTGACCAGGTCTCTTTCAGGTGCATGTTCGCCTACAAGCTGGGCCTGCGTGACTTGCCACAGTCAGTCGCCTTTTTCAGTGCAGTCGATATTGACCGGTGCCTCAGAAAGGAAGTGACCATGGATTGTAAAACCCCTTCCAACCCAACAGGGATGGAAAGAAGATACGGGATTCCCCAGGGTGAGCACAACACATTTGTCCTCATTATGCACGGAATGCAAAGTGACTAGAAAGTGGGCTTAGAGGCAGGCAGCGCGGGGCACCAGAAAATGGGAACCCCGTCCTAACTAATGCTGTGTACTCGCCCGTTTCACCTGGTGGGACGCTCAGATCACAAAGGGAGGGGTCTCTAGAAAGCTGTCCACAGCAAATGAAGGGAGAAACTGGAGCCTCAGATATTCCACCTCTCCCTTTCCTTCTTCAACCACATCAGGAATGTTCAAAGAGGATTTAATGTATAAAGTCAAAGTGCATTCTTAAGTGAATAAAAATTGTGCTTTGAATGCCAAAACAAGTAATGAGAAAGCTTACTGTCTATATACAATGTATCTAAGACAACTTATACAAAAAGAAAACAGACCCCCAAAATATAACATTACTGTTCCTGGCAATGATTCTCAACCCTTCCATACCCCTTTTCTCACTTCTACGCTCTGAGTTAACAATTTTTGAAGAAGCATCCTAACCAATCTGCGCTCTCTTTCAGGGGAAGCGCTGGATATTTACCAGATAATTGAACTCACCAAAGGCTCCTTGGAAAAACGAAGCCAGCCTGGACCATAGCTCTACCTGGTGGCTCCATATTTGCTCCTGTGGAGCTTCACTGGGGCAGTACAGGCTCCCAAACTCAGGCATTCAGCTGTGCTTTTTGCAAAGGGCTTGCCCCAGGCCAGCCATATTTAAGTAGCAGATGCCAAGAACAATTGCCTCTAACTGAAGGTGCAGTTGAACAACAGACTCAGAACCAAGATGCCATCATGGGTGCAGGCAGTGGAACAAGGATGCATTGTTGCTTACTGGGTAGAAAGCAGAAGCCCCAAAGTCCACATTAACTCAGGCATTTCGTTTCTTCTTTCCTTTTCTTCCTGGCTGGCTCCTTGTTCTGTCCCCTGGGGGGCGACGCAGTGCCCTAGAGGGAAGACAGTGCTGTTATGTGTGATAAACCTGTTGGAAGCAGTGGAAATAAAAACCCAAACCCTCTGTCTTCCCATTGCAGCCTCTGCTGGTTATGCTTTTGCCCCTTTGCCACGTTAGGAGGTGCTCGTGTTGCAAAGCGGGGAGACGTCTCCCCCAAAGAAGGAGAGGCAGGACTTTGGTTCTTTCCTAGGAGATGCATCAGTGCTGCAGTGCCAAGTAGGCACAGGGACTGGGTGGCATGGGTGTGTAAGGGCCAGGAATGTGATCATCTGAAGAATGTAGGTCTTAAATTTTTGAGAAGCCAGAAATCCAGACGTTTTATGTAAACTTCAATTTTAAAATGGGAATGAGCCACTGATTTTGCCTAAAATCAAAATTCTAGGTGCTAGAGGGTAAAGAAACTGGGTTCTGCCTCTCAGGTGCTGCAGGGCTCAGGATACACTGCGGGAACTGGCAACAAACTCCGAGGAACAGAGCAGAGAGGAAAAGGGGTGAGGAGCTGGCATGCACCTGAACTAACCAGAGTGGCCCTGCTTTGAGTGCGGGCGCGGTGGAAGAGGCGGGAGGCTCGTTCGAGCCAGACCCCCTGGGGTAGTCACTACCCTCCAGCAGTTCGAAAGGGCCCGGGGACGAAGACCCACAGCAAGACCTTGTGTTGTCACCACCCCCTTTCTGGCAATGTCCTCGCCAAATATGTACAAGTCTGGGCAACTTCACATGGTTCAGAGTTCACAAGCGTCCCCTGGAGACTCCTCTGTGGCGTCCTCCCGAACTGCCTGTTCGTCCTTTTGCTGTCTGGTCGCTGCCCCGCCACTAATCTGTGGTGGATCCCAGACAGGCTAACCGCCAGTGGGAAAGGGTGGCCGGTGCTTGCTGCCCCCAGTCACAAGCAGGCACTGACCTCTCTGTCCTCGTCCTCGTCCTCCTCTCCCCGAAGAACCATGTCCAGGACGTTCCCTTTGATCTTGAAGTCTCGTGAGGTGCTCAGCTTCATGTGCTGCATCAGGTTCACCTGTGGCGGGACTGTAAGTGGGCACGTTTCCCCGCTGGTGGGGCTCACCAGGGACAGCCTATCCCCCGCTGGTGGGGCTCACCAGGGACAGCCTACACCGTTTTTGCTGTGTCTGCGACAAACCCTTCAGTTCTGGAAGTAAGTACCCATCCATGTGACCTGTTTTCCCCATCGCTTTTCCTGCATGACGTCTGGATGCACGCCATCGGTAAGGACTGCAGCGCAGCCCCACACCCGCCCCACTGTGCTGCGTCCATGTGCCAGGTCCCCTTCACAGGGTAAATGGAAATGGCAAAAAATTATAATAGTTTACCTTGGACCGCTTGGAAAGGTGGATGAGAAATTTTTCATACTGTTCAATGGCAAAGATGAGATTAGGGATTGGCTTGGTTTCCCGAAGAACTCTGGCCTGCAGGGCAAAGAAAAGACTTAAATTTTAGGTTCCAGAGTTTGTGAAGTCATCCTTTGAAGCTGTCAGTTGCAGAACTGCTAATGGTTTGGGTGGAGAAAACTCATCTACCAATCAAAGGCACTTTTACTTACATACCAGTAATCTAAGACTGACAATTCAGTCTTACCAAAGGCCTTAAATGCTAACAGAGATTGTGTTAAATCCTTCGGTTATCATTCCTACATATTGTCTGGGGACTGGCTGGAGGAAGAGACCACCCGCAGATGCGGCCGCCTCTGACTTGACATTCTCAAAGCAACGGGCCCGCTCTGCACTAGCTGTTTCCTCTTTCCAGTCTGCATATGAATTTTCACTGCTGGGATTGGATGTATCTTCTCCCCAGTTTTAATTGCAACTTGTAGATCCTTCCAAACATGCCTTACACATAGTGTGTTTCTATATTTTTTAAAAACCCCACAAGTGAGAACACTTTTCTTCTTTTTTCATCACTTCATTCTATATTCTGAACATTTAATTTGTGTTTTTCATGTGTGTAGCATGTAGCATTTCACAGTACAACTCTACTAACCCAGTCAGCCAAGGCCTTCACTAGTGGTCCCCCTAGTTTGTCTAGTACTTTACAAATGACATCGCTAGGGCTATGCTGTAACAGGCCTTCACAACTTCCACACCTTAAAAGTGAATTGTTGCATTAAAGCGTGTGTGTGTGTGCGCACGCACACGCGTGTGCTCATATTCAGCAGTTGGTGCCAAATTGCCACTTAAAGCGACTGTACTAATTCTGCTGCCAGCAGTGTACTTGAAAACCCACTTCCCTGCACCGTTTACCAACTCCTAACGTACCCTTTAGGGAGTACCTTTACATACATTCATTAACTTCCTAAAATGATTTCTTCCCAATGGGAATCCTAAGCTGTTTCTATTTTTAAAGAAAGAGTTGAAAATTTTCTAGCACTTCCTGTATAAAGTGTACTTTTTTTGGTTCAGAGGAAAAAGACGTTCCATCTGAACATACAATCTGTGAGCTGTTAATAAGCAGCTGTACGCACACATGCACTTTCCCCACCAGCCTTACACACACTGCTGAAACAGCTTTATTGAGATGTAATTCACAGACCATAAAATTTACTCATTTACATTGTATACTTCAGTGTTTTTAGTGTATTCATGGTTGTGCAACATCTTCATAATTCTGGTACATTTTCACCACCACCACCCCGCCAAAGAAATCCCATACCAATTTAGCAGGTAGCTCCAGTCTCCAACCCCACAGCTCTAGGTAGCCACTGTTATCTACTTTCTTTCCAGAATCGCCTGTTCTGGACATTTCCCATAAATGGAATAATACAACATGCAGTCTTTTTCTGACTGGCTTTTCACTTAACATTTCCAAGGCTCCCCATGACATGACGGGTGTCGGCAGCTTACCATGGCCGTGGTGACAGCAGCAATTTTCTCCTTCTCTCCCGTGTATTTTGGGCTGTTGCTCTTCTTGTTCTATAGAAGCAGAAACACATTTTCTCATTCCTGAAGATTCTTCTGTAGAGCTAGCAGGCTGGAGGTAATCTTCTAGGAAGGTCATTACAGTGGAGTGTGGGAACTCTGAAGGGGACACCCCGTCTGGGTGAAGACATCACCCTGCAGCAGATGCTGAAGGATGGGGAACATTCTGGGGCACTTTATAATCCTCAGGTCTTTTCCTATTTTGTTGTTGGGAGGCTGACAATTTGGAAGTAAGGGCAGGACTGACCATTGTTGTGCCAGACCAGCCAAAGGACTGGGAGTGTATCACAAAAGGGTGGTTAAAAATGGGGCTGTCAGGGTGGTGGCAGGAATAGGTATTTCCCTGCTGGGCATTAGCTACAAAGGTTCCACAGAAAGGAGGAAGCTGGAGAGGCTGTTGGCAGGGCCTGCAGCCTCCCCACTTAGAGGCAATCACCAGACACGGCTGGTGTGCCGTGTGGTTCTAGGCTTGAGAGGGGTTTAAGAGTCACGGCAACACATCCCTGTGTTTAGATAACCAGAGAAGGAAGAGCTCCAGGGAAGGAAGGACTAACCAGAATGGGCACCAAGGGCAGATTCTTGTGAGGCAGAAGAGCCAGGAGCTGAGTCAGGAAGAGCCAGGAAAAAAACCTGCCCACGTGTGAAGTTCATGAAACACAGGAACCTTTGCCCGAAGGGAGTTCTGCGCCTCCCAGGAACGGGACAGACCACGCCCCAAGTAAGATCATTAAAAACAGGCCTGAAAACAGAAATTACATCACTGGAGCCATGTGACAGACAAGAGGCCTGGTACATGTGGCGTGTTCTAGAAAATAAGAAATGGTAGGGATTCCAGAAGGGCTTGTGTGAGGATATTTACTTTTAAGCCTGAAAGGCAGGTTGAGGATGGTGATGGTAGAGGGTGAGGATGTCCTCTTAAGGGCAGGGCAGGTAAGCAGCCAGACACAGCAGTGTGACCAAGTGGTTAATAAGCCATCTTTCTAGAGGCTGTACTGAAAATGGGTCCCTGTTGAAACTCCTAAATCAACGCCATCCACTGCCCATTCCTATTGACTCAGTAGGACTTACTGCAGAAGAGGGGGCACCTTCTAAAGGTAATGCTACACAGGATGCTCGGTTTGGGAGCAATGACTCACTGCTTCCCGTTGAGATGCAAGGCTGTGGACAAGAAGGGGCTCTCAGAGAGTAAGCAGCCTCTAAAAGAAGAGGCAAATGCAATGCTGACTTCTAGGTAAGAGCTGGACTACACGGAATCGGGCCCTTGCCCAGGGCTGCTCATTAAGTACAACGAGAAAATATTTGCCTGTGGATTAGCTGACTTGTCAGTAAGGCTTTAAGTTAGATATAGATGGGAAAGGGGGGAAACATCTAAGGGGTATATAAACTTTTTTCTACAATGTGGAAAAAGGAATGGTAGTCTAGGGGGTGTGTGATGATTCACAGAAGAAAACGCTTGAGAATGGGGTCAGAACAAACCCCAACCCCCTAACATTTTACATGTCAACGATAACGTATCTGATTCCAGAGCAGGGGCTGGCAAACTACAGCCCACAGGCCTGCTCTGGCCCACTGCTTGTTCTTGAAAATAAAGCTTCCTTGGCACACAGGCACAACCATCTATCTGCATGTCGTCTGTGGCTGCTCTTAACACTACAGCGGCAGAGGTGAGTAGATGTGGTACCAACTACATGGCCTGCGAGGCCTGGAACATTTACCGCCCAGCCCTTTCGAGAGGGGCCTGCTTGCTGACCTTGCTGTACAGCCAAACTAGCTGGGTTTGTCTCCACTCTGCCTCTTAACTAGCTGTTCTTCACATCCCCCTCTCCAGTCTTTTCTCATCACTTACTTGGCGGTACCTACCAAACACAGTGCAGTGAGGATGAATGAGGTGACACATAAAAAGAGCTTAACACCAGGCAAGGGTTGTAGAGAAGCAGGCAAGGCTCTAAAACGTTAGCTGTTTTAATAAAATGAACAAGGCCTTACAGCAATGTTTCCCAAGTGTGCTCTACGGAATGCTACTCTGCCAAATGCTTTGTACTAAAAAACAAAAAGTTCTTGGATAACTTTGAAAACTACTTCTGAACATATTCTTGTCAGAACTCCAGTCACTTTAATATGTTAATGGGTACCATGAATCTCTAAGAAGAGAAATGTGTTACAAGGATTTCTCACAGAATCCTTTTTGCTAAGGACTCTTGGTCTGTACAACATACTTCGTGAAATGTGGCCTTAGAGGTATTAAGACCTGGAAATGGGGAACTCAAAACCTGAATTGAGGGACAGAGGGATAAGTCCTATTCTTAGACACACACATAACAGATTTGTTTGACAGAACGGCTTGCATGTGAGATTTGTGAGCCTGGGGGCTGAGAAAGCACACCCGCTAGTATGTGGGTGAGATCAAAGGAGAGGGCCAGAAGTGACGGCATGGTGGGAACAGGCTACAGACTGGCCAGACAGAAAAAGAATGACACATTCCTGACCCAGATCCAGGGTTACAGAGGACCTCAGTTCTCAGCATGCTACTGAGAACTTCGGCTACACCTAGACTACAGGCCACTCAGTGGCCGATTCTCCAGGGGAGGGGAGAAGGCACCCTTAAATCACTCAATGAGGCAAGCTACTGATAGGAGAAGTGCCTAAACACAATGCAGAGGCAGAAAAAAAGTGGGGCATCCCTACAAAGTGGGTACAATCCATTGCTTTAACCACTGGTTCTAGAATCTTAGCCAGGATTGACCCATCAGTGGACACTCTGATTCTTCAAAGATCAGTAACAGCCCTGCAGTACTCCTACTGCAGTGACTAAGGGGCCCTGGGAGACAGCAGGTCTCCCATCACTTCATGTGTTTAAGACAGTGGTTCTCACCTGGGGGCACCTTTGCCCCTTAAGGCAATTTCTAGACATTTTTGGTTGTCACAACTGTGGGGCTGCTACTGGCATCTGGTAGGTAGAAGCCAGGGACACTGCTAAATATCCTAAAATACACAGAACAGGCCCCATAATAAAGAATTAACTGGCCTAAAATATCAATAATGCAGAGGTTTAAGAACCCTGGTTTAAGTCAACAGTAAAGGCGACTCCAGTACTGCAAGAATCTGATGTTATTTGCAACCAGATGACATTTAAAATTTCTCCAAATCCTGAAAGGGCTCATTACTTCAGGGGAAACGAATCTGAGCAAAGGACAGAAAAGCCCATGCGTCCTCCCCCTCCCTGCAGGTGCTATCGCCCTCACCCAAGTACTGCCGTCCTCAGGCCGCCTCCACGTGCTTGCCGCACTTCACATGCAGTCCCAGGGATGCCCGGTGACATGGATTTGCAATCACCCAGAAGTGGACCGAGTCACCAAGCTTAAGCGTGCTCATTAACTCCCTGCTCCAAGTGCAAACACATCAAACTCTTCCTCCACATTAAGTAAAACTCATTTGTAAGAACAAAGATTTTCTTGCTGCAAAGATTTCAAGCCTTCACTTGGTCTTACATGAGCACCTTTGGCTCAGGGTTAAGAAGAGAAGAAACTCCACATACACTCAGCTCAAGGGACGAGGCTGTCCGCTGGGGACACAGTCAGTCCTTTCTTACTTGGAAGACTTATTTTGTGTAGATCTGACCCTGAGTCACTCACCTGTACGTAAGAAATGAAAGAATAACACAGTGGGGTCAGATGAGAACCTGACAGCTTCACCTGTAGCAAAGGAGGAAACCCATGTTAACTGTAGGAGTAAGATGCTTGCCCACTCCTAGGAAGGGCATTCGCAACTCACCAGCTTCTCCAAAATTTTTGGAAACCCTCCGGAACTCTGACACACCTGGAGATACTAACAAAAGATTCCTAGATTTAGCACACCATCCTATATATACATTCCACGAAACTCCAGGGGCCCCAGTGATCTAATGGTGTGTGACTCTGCACTGACTGGAAAGGGAAAACAGGCTACTCTATTCATGGGAAATCATAGACACAAGGCTTCCTTTTTCCCTCCGTGCAGCATCTAAGCTTCCCAGACAACAGGCAATGAAGGGTTTCTGTTTCTGACTTCTTCAGCTCACTGTTATTAAAACCCTTCAGGCACAGTCCCTGCATCAGAAAACCAATGACTTCAATGATTTTCCTTTTTAAAAATGCCAATAAAGAAAAGGGACTCCCAGTATTTCCACTCCAGAAGCTTAGGAGCCACACCACGTGACCAGAGCTGCGCTTTCTCAGAGATGGCTGTGCTGCTGTTTGGACAAGGTGGGGTGGTCTACCATCTTGCTTGGGTAGTCTGTGCCTTTTTAAGTATTTAATATGAATCAGGGCTAGAATTAGAAGTAAATTACCTAGTTCCTTCACCCTCGGGATGTATGCTGGGGATCAAAATATTACAAGTGCAAGAAAGTTTCTTGTTAACAGCATTAAGTTAATATTCCTTGTATTTTTTTAGTAAACTTTTCTCCCACCTTAGGACCTAACCTAAAGGCATTTTACACCTATGCTAAAGGAATGGAAGAATAAATACCCCTTCAGTGTCCAGACTGGTCTGAGTCTACTTCTTGAGCAACAGGAACCAGATGAAACTCTACAGCCACAGTTTAGGTTAAGTCTTAGAAGGCACTTGAAGAGGCAGTTACCCTCAACTGGGGCGCACATCCGTCTGCTGAGGAAGTAAGGGCCTCTAAAAGCAGGTTTAGAATTATGCCACTGACTGGTTTTTCCTGGCCTGTGGAGATGTTTGCCACCCACTGATCAAACCAGAACAAACCGTGGCTTAGAGGTGTGAGCGAAAGATCTGAACAGGGTCACTCTGTGGCAGTGGGCTTGGCCTCAGCCTCGTCTCCTGGCGGGCCGGGGTAGCACGGAGGCGGTAACCTTGATCATCTCTCAGATACTCACATATCGGACAAGTGCAGTGAGAATGGTGTACATTTTGCAAAGGTCCTTTAACAAGATGTCCACACAGCTGCCAGATGGCAGGGCTGTCTGTACCAGCTCATGGAAAAATGTAAGCAGAGTTCCCAGCTGCATGACGATGGCTTTCTCAACGGGCTGACTTGGTAGGGCTCCCTGGGAGGAGGCCTCTCCTGAAGGGAAATGAAGTCGGCACATTCAAACCCAACCGGCCTTGTTTTCTAGTTAGCCTGAAGAAGGTTTATTTAGAAATCAACTAAACACCATTAACTAGGAAGTCCGTAGGGAAAATGAGCGTGTAATTTGCCATGCAGAATGAACCAACAGTCACGCTGTCACAAGCCACACCGCTGGCTACTTCTTCCTCCCACCGGAAATCTACCTCAAACAGATCGGGCTCAGGGCCTCCACTTTAATGCAGGTGTCCAAATTGGACTTCGGTTGACTTTGCTCTTATGACAACTCCTAGAACTCCATCCTGAACTCATCTTACCTGGTATGACCTCTTGGCCCACTTGGCCCTTAAGCTTGGTGATCAGCCAGTCCACTTCTTCTAGGACCTTCTCAGCCTGACTCAGAGCAAGCAACTGAAAGAGAAGGATGCCTGGCATGGCTCCGTGCACAAAGCTGCTGGTGTAACAAGAATAACCACCATGCCACCTCCAGGTGGGTTACAGGCCTCAGGACACAAGCCACTATAATGTACTTTTCACATGTAATAAAACAGAAGGAAAGACAAGGCCATTTCCTGTGGGTCAGGGATTGAAACTCACACACACAGTCGGGGCAGCTGTTCTCAAATTCACCATTGCAAAGTGGTTTGTCTTCTCCACCTCTACATCCTGGGGAGGGAAAGAGAGATGAGATTTGGTGGCAGTAAGGCTCCTCCCGACTTCCACTCACACTTGGGGTGTTGTACTGAAGGCTCACTACAGCACCTGGTCTATGTCTCCAAGATGCCCATGGATATCCTGGGACAAGTCACGCAGCAGGGTGACAGGACTCTTACACAAAACATAGAGGCTGAAGAGCAAACTCATCAATCCCTTGCAAAATGAGGCATCATCTAGAGGCAGGAAATGAAATGGGTCATAACCTGATCAGTCCTCTAAGGGGAGAGGCCACCTAACCAGAACTCGTGGCTTGTCATATGCTAGGCATAATATCCAAGTGCCACACGCACTCCCAACCAAGGCAGCTCTCCCAGACAGGTGCATTTCTGCCCATTGTCCAAAGAAAGGAGACATTTCCCATTATTAGTCATTATCACTGTGAAACCAGCACCCACACTGGGAAAAAACACTGCCAGCACCCCCAGAAACCCCCTCCTGCCCCACTCACAGGCAGCCAAGGAAACGGCTACCCTGACTTCTCACATTACATCTAGTTTTGTTGGGTTTTATCTAAATCTTTTTGTGTCTGGCTTCTGCTGTCCAACATGATGGCTGTGAAACTCCGCCACACTATGTGCTGGTACAGTCTGTTCCCTCTCACTGCTGCAGTGTCCACTGTGTGTGCGTCCCAGTTCCTTTATCCATTCCACTGCTGATGAACACCTGGGCTCATTTTTGCCTACTAAAATCATGCTGTGAGCATTCTTCCACTTTTCTGTTGGGAGTGCAACTGCTAGATCACGAGCATATGTCTAATTTTAGTAGTCAGGTCTCCCCAAACAGTTTTCCAGTACGGTTACACCAACTTATACCTCCCCCAGCAGCGAATGAGAGGTCCGACTGCTCTACAGCCTTACCCACACTTAGTATCATATATATTTTTTTATTTTGGCCACTCTGGTGAATGTGTTCTGGGGAATACCTTTTTCTTTTCTAAATGCTATTTGGTGATGATGATTCTGTATAAGGAAACACGGTAGATAACTTACCCCGGCTGTTTTCCTTGCAAATCTTAGATGTCCAGGATAACATCTGCACAAACTGGAGATTGTTTAGATGTTAAGGAAACATGCACGAGACAGACGAGGAGAGCCCCAGACCTTCTGGAGCCTCATCACCTGCCAGAACAATCTACTAAGAACAGCACACAAGTAAGCCCAAAATTATGAGAAGTGTTACTGATACTTTTCCCACAATATATGACTCAATTCTCTCAGTCTGTGCCCTAGTTATGAGCCAAAGGTCCTGAGCTTGGGGTCTTACCCCGGAGCTTCCTGTACCCCACTACCATGTCTAGGACTAACGCTCCTTTTCCCTTCCCATGCCCACTCCTTCCACACCTGAGACATCTTCAAGGATTTCAGGCTAATGCAGAGTAAGATCCTGGTCATGAAGAGAGAACAACTAGCTTTTAGGAGCCCAGACACCAGCGGTAGTTACAGGGGCAGGTGGGGGGATTGGGGGGAATGGCAGGCATTGGGGAGGTTCTGTGTATAAGGGGACTCAAGCAGTTCAAATCTGTACAGTTCAAGGGTCAACTGTAATATGAAAGATTGAAGATGAAGGTCAAGTGGGATCTCGGAGGAAGTGAATTAGCTAGCAAAAGGGACTTCCTTTGGGCTACCTGGACGAGGGCACTCAAACACAACACTCCCAGGTTGTCATCCCTAAAGACTAGCTCTTTCTGAAGCAAGGGCTCACTCAAAGGGCCTTGCACCCCAGGCTCAGCCTCCCTTCCTCAGTGACCAAGATGTGGTGGGAGCACACAGCCCTGGGCCGTCAAGGACGCTCCAGGGAAGTTACTCCCAATGGAGCAAACCCACAATATGTAGGCCTTCCCCTTTCCTTCCATGTGTATGAACGTTCATGGAGGTAGACAATCGTGTGTGTGCACATCTGCACACTGCTCATCCTGGCAGAGCTGTTTCTGCTCCAGGACTCATGTCTTTTCTTAGTCACCTTCTGCTGAGCTTCCCGTGAATCACTAGCAGCTAACCTTGCTGAGAAAGCCCCCTGTTGAGTGCCAGCTACCTTCTTGATAATCAGCATACTTTCACCTTAGAAGAGGAAACACCCGGTCAGTAAATACACAGGCAACGAAGGCTGAAGGCACTGAAGATAAACAGGGTTGTTCCTGAAGTGTTTATTGACCCCGTGCAGTGGCTGGACAAGTGAGGCAGCTGAGTTCTCACTCTGACTGGCTGCATAAAATCGTGTCATGGTGGAGACACTATGTAGGAAAGTGAACATCTTACGAATCTGGTATTAACACAGGAGTAACTATGCATGTCACTTAAAAGAAGCTGGCTCCAGGAGGACACTTAGCTGAGTAGTTCACAGTGCGACACTGCCTGCCTTGGGAGGGAGGCAGAGCGGGACGGAATGGCGGCACTTGTACCTGAGGGGAGGCGGTCTCCAGCAGCCTGGAGAGATCGGAGAGGATAGTGACTAGCAGGAGGGCTTCTCGGCTGTGGAAGTCTTCCTCTGGGCTGCTAAGTAAGTTCAACAAAGACCTCTGAGAAGGAAAGCAAGACATGCTCCCATCAGGGAGGAGAAACATCCAGCCAGAGATCCTACGGCTGGGACACAGGGTTAGAGCTCCCCAAGTCCCAAGAGGGCAGCACCTGAAAATAAACCTGGATTGAACAGTTTCCTATCCTGGTTCCAACCATAAATCTGACTGTTCTCTTAAAAACTATGGACTACTTCCCTAACCCCCTGCCAAATGGACCTCAGGAATGACCTGTATATCAGATTTTGGGGGGTTCACAACTCCCTGAAGCCAACCACTGACCTCAGGTTAAGACCACGCCCCAACCCAGGTTCTCAACACAACTTCCCTGTATCCTTTGCTTTATTCCTCTCTCACCACTGGAAATACCATATATTTTATCAGTCAGTCTCCTCCCCACAACAGTGTAGGCTTGAGGGCAGGGTTCTTCTCTTTAGTTCTCTGCTGTATCTGTAGCACCTGGAATAGCCCTAGCACATAGTAGGAACTTAAAAACTACTTAACTGAATAAAGAAATCCTCTGTGACAGAAGACCCTGGTACGGTGAAAACTACTGGCTAGAAATGAACAGGCTTCGCTGTCCTGCCTTTGCCATCTGGCAAACAGGCAATTTATACCATGGCCACAAAACAATATACTCCATACCTGAATGGGATCCTGGCTCTCTATCAACTTGAAGAGGAATTCTTGGAGGCAATGACTGCTGCAGGTTAGGAGGCTAACACACATCCTCCCCAGAAGCCTTTCAAAGGCACCATCTTCCACCCTAAGAGCTAATAAGTCCTCTTGCTTGAATGATGACCCAGAAAAATAAATCCCAGTCCTACTTGCTCACCACCTGCCCCCTTCTCACCAGCTGTCCCTGCCATCAGTACCTTCGCAGGGATTCTCGAGTCTTCTTACCTGAAACTGTCGGATCTGGAAGGCTGCTCTTTCACTGACACTGACTTCCAACTCTTCTCCCTCCTTATCTGTGACATCTAGGAAAGGAAAATAACTTTACCTTCTTTGGAATGGTCTTATTTTGTTCTGGCTCTTTAATAGCTAAAATTAGAGGAAGTGAAAAAATGTCTGGACGCAGAATGAAATGTATTCTGAACATTCTGCAATTCCTTAATACTATATTCCATTTTCCAGTCACTATTTGTGGTTAAGTGTAATCCAGTAAATACCTATTCTGAATCCACTAGATGTCACTCCTTAGCAACATTAGAACTGTTCTCAGGTGCCCCTCTGGTAAGTTAACTAGAATCAAGGGGTTTGATTAAGAAAAACCCAGATCAAGCTCGCTTATCAAAATGGAAATGCCCACCCAGAGCCCTGAGAAACTGATGAATCTTGGGCTGATAAAACTGCTGCACAACGCTGAGTATCTTCTGCAAACCCTCCAAGCACAGCAGCGAGATGCTCTTTCCTTTCTCCTTCTTTCCTGACTCTTCGACTGAAGTAGGAATGGAAGTGTATCTCCAAAGCAAAACCCTGAAAAGGGGAAAAGTGATTTTGTTTTTAAAGGCAGGTTTACAGAGGTACAATTTATATACAGTAAAACTGACACCCTGGGGATGCAATCCTATGAATTTTAGCAAGCTTACAGTTGTGTAATTATACCCATAACCAAGATCTTTTCATCACCCCCAAAATTCCCAGGGGCTCCTTTGTAGTCAATTTTCTCTCCCTGAATTTCCAAGTAATGTTTGCTCTGATTCCTGTCCCTGTGACTTTACTATTTATAAAATAATGTATAAAAATGGTACCATTCAGTATGTAGCCTTTTTTTGAGTCTGGCTTTAACTTAGTATCTGCCTTTGAGGTTCACCCACGTTGCAGTGCTGGTACTCTGACCATTCCAATGCTGAGTGTCTGCCACTGTACGGATACACCAGTTTGTCCATTCAGCTGTTGATGGACATTTGGGTTGTTTCCATATTTTACTATTACAGATAAAGCTGCTGTATACAAACCTTTCTATGAATATATGCTTTCATTCCTTTTGGGTAAATTCGTAAGAGTGGAATGTGTATATCATATGATAAGTATGTGCTTAATTTTTTTAAGAAACTTCCAGACTGTTCCCAAAGTGGGTGTACCATCTTACGTCGCCATCAATAGTGTGTGAGAGTTCAAATTCCTCCACATTCATGACAACACTTTGGTACAATTAGTCTTTTTGCTTTTAGGTATTTTAGTAGTATTTAGTGGTATACCTCATTGTGATTTTAATTTGCACTTACCTAATGGCGAATTATGTTGACCATCTTTCCGTGTCCTTATTTGCTATCTATGTATCTTCTTTGGTATAGTGTCTATATTCAACTATTTTACCCATTTTTTAATTGAGTTGTTTGTTATTAACCAGTCTGAGAGTTCTTTACATATTCTGTTTCCAACCCATCCTCACACGTGTTTGGCAAATATTTTCTCCTAATCTGTGGTCTGTCTTTTTATCTCCTTTAGAGTGTTTTTCAAAGAGCAGACTTAACTTAAAAAATATATATATATATATATATAAATTGTATGCTTCTGGTGTTATATCTAAGAAATCTTTACCTAAAACAAGATCACAAAGATTTGTTTTCTTCTAGACATTTTACATTTTTGGTTTTACATTTATGTCTCTGATCCCCTTCAAGTTAATTTTTTGTATGACAAAAGAAATGGACAAAAGTTTTTATTTTCCACATATGGATGTCCACATGTTACAAAACCATTTGTTAAAAAGACTTTTCTTTCTCCATTAAAGTACCTTGGCACTTTTGTTAAAAATCAAATGACCACAGTTGTATGGATCTATTTCTGAACTACTCTGTTCCACTGATTCAACCAATACCATACTATCTTAAATACAACTTTATAATAAAGGTAGTGAGTCCTCTAACTTCATTCTTTTTTATTTCAAACTTGTTTCAGTCATTCTAATTCCTTTACTTTTCCAGACAAAAATTTTAGAATCAACTTGTCACTTCCTACAATAAAGCTTAAGATTGTGCTGAATTTATAAATTTGGAACAAATTCACACCTTGACAATATTAAATCTCTGAATCCACTAACATTGTGTATATCTTTACATTTACTTAGGTCTTTGGTTTCTCTAGTATCTTGTACTTTTCCTTAAATTAATCTTGTATATTTGTTACTTTATTGCTAAGCAGTTCATTTTGTTTTGCTACTGTAAATAGAATTTTTTAAAATTTCAATTTCCAATTGTTCATAGCTAGAATATATACTGCAATTTTACTAAACTACTTAATATATCCAGTAGGCTTTTTATCCTTTGAAATTTATAAATGTAGACATTTATAATGTCTGTGAAGACCCCTTTATTTCATCTTTCCCTCTCTGGATGTCTTTTCTTTTTTCGATCTTATTGCACTGGCTAGACCTCCAGTATGATGTTGAATTATCAGTGGTTAGAGCACAGAGGAAAGCATACAGTCATTAAGTATGATGTTAAATATAGGATATTTGTGGATTTCTTTTTATTGGATTGAGAAAGTTCTTTCATTCCTAATTTTCTGAGAGATTTTATTATAAATTTATGCTGAGCTCTTTTTTTCTGAATCTATTGAGATGATCATACGGTTTCATCCTTGAATCTGTTGATAGTGAACTACAATGACTGATTTAAAAACCATGCATGACTTGCATTCCTGGAAAAAAATGCCACTGAAGTATGATGGATTGAATTCATTAAGTTTTAAAATCTATATTAATGAGGTAAATTTATCTTCCTTTTACTGTCTTTGGCTGGTTTGGTTACCAGGGTAATGCTGGCCTCATAACATAGGTCAGGACATATTCCCTCCTTTATTTTCTGGAAGAGTTTGCATAAACTAGTATTACTTCTTCCTTAAATGTATGATAGAATTCATCAGTGAAGACATCTAGTTTTATTTGAGGGAAAATGCTGAACCAAAAATTCAATTTCTTTAATAGAGACAGGATTACTGAGGTTACCTATTTTTTCTTGTGTGAGATTCCAAGCAATTTGTCCACTTAAGTTATCAAGCTTCTTGGCATGAAGTTAACACTTTTATCAATTTTAATGTCTGTAGAATCAACAGTGATATATATCCCTTCTTCCTCATACCTGAATGCTTAATTTGTGTCTTCTCTGTTCCTCATCAGTATGAGTAATGCTTAAATTTATTGATCTCAAAGAACCAGCTTTTGTTTCACTCATTTTCTTTACTGTTTCATTTTTCAATGATACCTTTGTTTTTATTATTTCTTTCCTTCTGTTTACCTTCATTTTAATGTTCTTTTCTTTTTCTATTAATGTGGAGGCTTAGATTGTGATAAATTTCTACCTAAACGCTGCTTCAGATCAAATTTGGTGGACTGTGTGTTCATTTTCATTCTGTTCAAGTTTCTCATTTCTTTGTCTTTGACAATGAGTTATTTAGAAATGCCTTTAATTTCCAAATATACAGAGATAATTTTAATACTATTTTAATTAATTAAAAATACATTTGTTATTACTTTCTTCCTTAATTCTATGTGGTCAGAGAACATAATGATTTCTACTTTCCAAAATGTTGTTTTATGGCCTAAAATATGGTCCATCTTGTACATGTACATGAAAAAAATGTGTATTTTGAAACTTGTTGGTTATTCTATAAATGTCAAGTCAAGCTGGATGCAGTGCTGCTCAAGTCTTCAGTGTTTCCTTATTTTCCACTACTTTTACTGATTATTGAGATGCATTATTGTTTATTTCTTCTTCCGTTCTGTCAGTTTTTGCTTCAAGTATTTTGAAGCTCTGTTGTCAGATGCATATAAAGTTATGTCTACTTGATGAATTATTTAGTCATTATGTAATATCCCTCTTTATTCTTGTTAATAGAGTAACATTTTATATGTAACCAACAGTCTGCATCAAAGCAGGCATAGATAAAGGCCCAATATTAGTGACTGCACTTCCACTCTTAGGGCACGCCCAGACCTTCAGTCCCACCCCAATTTCCTCTCTTCAAGATTCCATAGCAAGTGAAACATTGTACCGAGTTATGTCACAGAGGTTCTGAAAGATCTTCTCTGGGTTTTGACCATCAGGGCCACTCACATGCCCTGTTTCCTTCAGCTGCTGTACCTTCTGCAGAGCCACACTCACTGCATAGCGCATAAACTCACTGCTGGACCTCAGGACGGACAGGCTCTCTTCGTGGCTTTGGGCACTGTCCCTAGAATGAGAGGGAAAAAAAAAAGGATGTCCCTATTGCTGTTGGGATCTGGAATTAGGCTTTCTAGGGACTACTCAGAATAGCAGCACCCAGGAAGTCCCGAAGGGTACACCCTAGGCAGCCCAGGCCAGAGTCACTGCCATGCTATCCTTTGATAATCATCATATATTTATTCATTTATTTTGTTACTTTATTTTCTCCCCTTTCGCCAATCCCTTTACTTGGATAAAATTTGAATGTCAGTCTTTAGTTTTTCTTTGGTTGTTGTTCCTCTGTTTTGTTAAATTCAGGTTTTCCTTTCTTCCCTTTTTGCTAATTGTGTTCAAGCTACTTAGGGAGATTTTCTTATACCTTATAATTCATCCCTATCTTTTCATTCATTTATCCTTTGTTTCTGATTTTTTTCCTTTAATTAATTCAAGGTTACCACTCTAAAGTACCTACCTAGGATTCTCCATTTTTCATTCCAAGAAATCACAAACATCCTGACTTATTTTTTGTACATAGAGTAATACCGTGAACCCAAGAGAGGTAACCCCACACCAGGCGGGCATCACTACCTGCATGGTGCTGCTGTCTTTAAGCATCTTTTAGAACCTTACCTGAAAAGAGCGGTGAGAAGATCAGACACAAATTTCATGGACAAAACACTATCATTTGTTTTGTTGCCTGTTTTAGTTTTGCTTTTACCAGCTTTTTCATTAACGATGTCAGACAGTTTCTTGTAACACATAAATAACCTCAGAATTTCCTCAAACTTATTCTTACTGTGTGAAAAGAAAAAGAGACCACCAAAGATAAGCATCAGAAATAGTGTGGTTTACTTTCACATCCAGCAGTAAGGAAATCAATGCTTCCCAGATGTCAAGACTTTAGAGGGGTTATAAATCCATGAACCTTCATTGCGATAGCACTCTCAGCCCACACCCATCTATCAGCATTGTTTTTTCCCCTCCCTTATTGATACTAGTCAATGCAGAGCATGAAAGTCCAATATGACCACCAATCAAAATTTCTCTGTTAAAATGAGGAGTTCTTGAGTTCAAGGGCTGGGGAATTTTGGATAAATGAAAGCCGACTAGAAGGACAACAGTCCCTACCCTCTTGGGCATTATGCTCTGGTAGAAAGAACTACATCTGGTCTTCGGATAGATGTCCCCCTAAAGACAGTATTATCATCTCTGGTCTTCTGAGCAGCCAGCAAATTGGTAGAGTTAAAAAAACCCAACAACATAAAATGGAGTGTTCATGAAGCTGCAAGAAGATTCACAGCAATACCTTACCTGAAATTACTGATGGAAAAGTTATACTCTATTAGAACCTCATAAACTCCCATCACAAGAAAAGCGCAGATATTATTTTTGATGCCAACAGAAGAGCTCTGAGAAAAATCTGCTGACTTATCCTAAAAGACAAGATAAAAATGAATAAGGTACTAAAACTCTCCATTATTAAATACAGCTGAGACTCAGCGATTACCAGTTCAAAGTCCTCCAGTTCACTCTTAATCATTCTGCTAGTAACAGACTCCAGCAGATCATCTAAGTCTTGGTAGAATCCTTCATCTTCCTCTTCTTCCTGCTGCAGGGGCATCACTCTCCTCTTATACCAGGCCAAACAGTGATGAATACAACACAGTAGATAATCCTGTAAATGAAAATAATAATTAAACATCATTGAATATTAAGTGGTAACCTATGAAACTGCTGATCATCAACAAATAATTCTTACCTATCAGGCTAAAGTAAGTCATTCATTAGTATCACAAATGTCGATCTCAATTAACAAAACTGAACAAATTAATTGAACCAACAGAGAACTGTTTTCTGACCTTTCCCTAAGAAACTGGCTTTGTAAGTGGCTGACACCTCAGAATGCAGCATCAGGTGTGCCATCTCTGACCTGGTTCAAACACCACAGAGGTGGCTGCAAAGTTTAAGCCTCTCTAGCTCCTCTGAGTCCCAGAAGCTGTTCTAAAGATAGAGGTTTATGTTAAGGGAATCTCTGGGAGGCCAATGTAGCATCTCTGATCTAAGCAAAAGCCATCTCACTGCATAGAAGGTTCTCGTATGAAGGCAGGATATGACAACTGAAAGACCATGTCCTTCCCATGCTATGAGTTCTAAGACACTTAAGTGGTGGAATTCCAAGTTATCTTCTACTTCCCTGTCTTTCTGAGGCTTGACAGCAAAAACTGAAAACCAACCTGTCTTGGATCCTCTGAAGGTTCCACAGAATACCAATTCAGGCTCGGCTGAAATCATACACTCCCCTCCAGACTAATGAGGCAGGCCCCCCGAGTTCACCTGCCACTAGGGAACACTCGCCCACATTCTGAAGAACGCTGACAGAGGTATCTTACCAATAGATGCGAGGTGATGATGGGTCAGAAAAGCAAAGCAGAGAAAATTTAAAAGTTCACTGGAAGTACCAGAAGAGAACTTCACAGGGAAATGTATCTCTTTCGGAAGATCAACCCTATCAACAAGATTGGTATTTTTCTTAATAGGAAAAATAATGATTATAGGAGGAACAGAAGTCTCACCAGTGGTTCCTGTACAGAGATCTGATCTCCTTGGGTCAAAATACAAGCTTCTAATTTCAGAGGAGGCAGCACATCAGGTTTTGGCTCATAGAACTGCTTTAACTGTGTGACAAAGAAAAAAGACACCTTAGCTCACCAAAGCTTTTCATTTTTTTAACTGGTCAAGCTAATAGCCCCTTTAATGTATAACGGCATCTAAGACATATTTCTCGACCATCCAAAGAACAATGAAGCAAAATTTGTGCTGCTGGGGCTCACCCACACCCTCTGCCCTTGCTTCAGGCAACGTGCTGAGACCTCCTTTCCTATTCCACTTGTATTTCCTCTCCGACAACACATACTCTCTCACACCAATTCCTAAGCTTGGAACAGGGAACCAGCACTTTCAGCAGTTATGAGTCAGAATAGCTGAATCCAAAATCCCAGAGCCACTACTCGTCACTGACTTTGATAAAGGTCCCCATGTCCTGGTTCCTCACCTGTGGCATGGGGATATTATTAATATGAACTATATGTCTGTGTAAGGATTAAACATATGAATGCATGTGAAGTGCTTCAAATACTACTTGGCACATAACAGAGCACAGAAAAACGTTAGTTATTATTTTTCTCCTCTTTATTCTGGAGCCTGCAGAATCCTACTGGTCCATACACTGACATGAGTTAGGAAGCGCTACTTGCCTTCAATCACAATTTTGTATTTTTGTTATGTGTGTGAAGTAGTTGGGCTGATCATTATACTTTGAAAAGATAAAATATAGCTAACAGGATATAAATTCTATATAGAATCAGGCCCTAGGCCCAATGAAAAGCTTTTGTTGAAAAGTATAGGATCTTCCAATGACGTCTATACATCTGGGGCCTTGATTCATAATGGAACGTCTTAGGAGAATTACCACAGAGCAATGGCAATGGCATACGAAAGCAGGGCTGGGGGATGACGGAAGGGGCGGGAGAAGAAAGCGAGAATTTCCATTTTCAGCAAAATGGCGGACAAGGGGTTAGAGAACTTCTGGGCAGAAAATTTTAAAAAAAGTTGCACTAAAAACTTCATGTATCTATTTAATAAATACATATATAGCTAAGATGGGAAAATAAGTGAAGTCCTCAGAGGTCTGAGTATAACAGAAAATGTCATAAAGCATGAAACCAGCAAATACATAAGCAAATGAGCTCTGGAATTAGTGTTTACTCTGGCAGCACCTGCCAATCCCTCAAGCCTAGAGCTACAGTTGTGGAAGGATGTAAGGAACTGAAGATAAAGCCTAAGAGGGTATTATAAAAAGTGAAAAAAGTCAGAGAAAGACCAACACTGTATGTTTTCAATTATATGTGGAATCTGAAAAACAAAACAAACAAATGAACAAAACTGAAATAGGCTCATAAACACAGAGAGCAGAGTGGTGGTTACCATGGGGTGCGGGGACGCGGACGGAGGATGGCTGAAATAGGAGAAGGGGGTAGAAATTAGTGAGAGTGGTATCTTATCTGGGTGATTGTTACATGTGTATATACACAGGTCAACATTCATCAAGATGTACACTAATATTTGTGCACTTTATTATATGTACCTCAATTCAAAGCAACGACAAATAGTACAACTAATTAGCAGCAGTGAAAAATACACTGTGATAAATGAGGCACAAAGGAGAATAAAAAAATAAATAGGTAAAGTTTAAATTAAAGAAGGGCAGGACATAACTCCCCAACAAGGGGAAAAAAGAAATGAGGGAAATAACTAATTTCACATTTTATACAAACTAGAAAAAGAGGGAACATTCCCCAATCATTTTACTAAACTCATACTAAACCAAGGAAGTTCCATATGAGAAACAAAAATTAAGAGCCATTCCCTCTTGTAAACATATATGTCAACTGAATCCAGTAATATACAAAAAAGGTAATATATCACAATCACTTTGGGTTTATCCCAGGAATGCAACGTTGGTTTAGATCATCAAATAATACAACTCCACAGTAACAGATTAAATGTGAAAAATCATTGGTCATCTCAGTAGATACAGAAATGTATTTGATAAAATTAATGTATATCCAAGAGTAAAACAGAAGATCTGAAATGGCAGAAGAGTAGTTAAGTGTGAATTATCAAATCTGAAGAGAAGAGTTAAAAAATACTGAGGAAAAATTAACCAAGTCTCAAAGATCTGTGGGACAAAAATCAGGCATTCCAACAAATACACAACTGAAGCCCCAGAAGGAAAGGAGAGGGGACAGAAAAAATATTTGCTGAAATAATGGGTAAACATGTCAAATATGGCAAAAAGCATCAAGTTACAGATTCAAGAAGCTCAATTAACTCCAATAGGAGGAACACAAAGAAACATATCAGTCAAATGCTTGAAACCCAAAGACAAGGAGAAAATCTTAAAAGCAGCAAGAGAAAAATGGCAGAAAATACAGAAACCATAACTGAAATAACTGGCTTACTTCCCTTAAGAAATAATGGAATGATATATTCAAAGTAAGAAAAAATGTCAACTAAGAATTCTATATCCACGGAAACTATCCTTCAAAAATGAAAGTAAAATAAAGATAGACCCAGATAGATGAAAACTGAGAGAAGTCACTGCTAGCAGACCTGAACAGAAATTCTAAAAGAAGTTCTTCAGGCTGAAGGGTAATTATTCAAAACAGTAAACTTGAATCCATAGGAATGAACGAAGGACATCAGCAATGGCAAAAAACTGGTACATATGTGCAGGATTGTATCTATATATCTTATGTTTTCTTCCCTTAGTTTCTATGAAACACATACATATAACTGTTCAAAGCAAAAACTATAACACTGTTTTGTTGAGATTTTAATACAGATAGATGTAACATTTATGATGCTACCACAAAGCAGGATAATAGAACTATACTGGTGCAAAATTCCTGTATTTTACTATAAGTCAGTCAATATTAACTTAAAGATACTATAGTAAGTTGAAGGTGCATATTGTAACCTATAGAGCAAACATGAAAAATACAACAAAAGGAAATTTTTTAAAAGTTCAAAAAAGAAATCAAAACAAGTAGCAAAATAGTAGACCAAATCTATTACAATAATTACATTAAATGTGAACTGACTAAACATTCCCATCAAAGAATGGGTGTCACACTAGACTGAGAAAACAAGATCTTTTATGCTTTCACTCCTTTGGGTACATACCCAAAGTGGAACTGCTGGATCAAATGGTAATTGACGTTTAATTTTTTAAAGATTTGCCATACTATCCCCTGCATAGCTATACTATTATACATTCCCATCAGCAAGGCACAAGGGCTCCAATTTCTTCACATACTCACCATCACTTATTTTCTGTTTTGATAATAGACATCCTAATGGGTTTGAAGTGGTATCTCACTGTAATTTTGATTTGTATTTCCCTAATTACTGGTGATGCTGAGCATCTTTTCATGTGTTTACTAGCCATTTACATATATTTTTTGGAGAAATGTCTGTTTAAATCCTTTCCCTGTTTTTCAATCAGGTTTTTGTTGTTGTTGTTGTTGTTGTGCTTGAGTTGTAGGAGTTCTTTATATATTCTGGATATTAATTCCTAATCAAGTATATGATTTGCAAATACTTCTCCCATTCTGTGGGCTGCCTTTTCATTCTATAGATAATATTCTTTTTGCACAGAAGTTTTTAATTATGATGAAGTCCAGTTTATCTATTTTTCTCTTGTTACCAGTGCTTCTGGTCAATGTCTAGGAAATAATTATCAAATCTAATGCCATGAATCTTTCCCCTTATGTTTTCTTCTAAGAGTTTTATATCTTAGCTCTTAGGTTTAGGTCTTTGATTTTATTGAATACATGTAGTGAGTACATGGTATACATGGTGCAAGGTAAGGGTCCAAACTCATTTTCTGCACGTAGATATCCAATTTACACACCACTAGTTAAGACTCCTTGTTCTTAACCCAGTGCTTTCTTACATGAGGTTTTTCATGCTTGGACTCTTAAATCAGAAAGACCTGAGTTCAAATCCTGGCTCTGCCACTTACTGTATGACCTTGAGCAAATTAAATTACTTAACCCCTCAGAGCATTAAAATATAAATCTGTAAAATGGAGATAACATTTCACAGGGTTCATGAGGACTTAATGAGAACATCCATATACAGTGCTTCATAGAGCGCCTGGCCCTCAGTAAGTGCTAAATGGTAGGTATTGCTGTTATTACTATCAGTACATAATAGCATTTTGAACTGTCAATATATAAAAAGATTCAAGTACCATATACAGTGAAATATTTAGCCATAAAAAGGAATGAAGTATTGACACATGTAATAATATAGACGACTCTTGAAAATGTTAAGGGAAAGACACCAGTCACAAAAGGTATCATATGATTCCATTTATATGAAATGTTCACAATGTGCAAATCTATAAAGACAGAAAGTAGATGAGTGGTTGCTTAGGGCCAGGAGGTGGGCAAAGGATGAGAAAATTAGAGGGTCGTGGCTAAAGGATGTGGGGTTTCTTTCTGAAGTAATGAAATGTTCTAAAATTGATTGTAGCAGTGGTTTCATAACTACACGACTATACAAAAAACCAATGAATTGTAACTTTAAACAATGTTTAAAGTTGGGTGAAATGTATGAGCGTGAACTATATCTCAATAAAGCTATTTAAGAAAGATTCAAATAAATGCTTAATGAATAATTTGAGGGTAAAACGTCTTATTTACGCCAAGTATTTCTCCAACTGAATTCTTCTCATCTTGATGGCCCTTTGACACATTTCATAATTTAAAAACCTTTTTTAGAACTGGAAAGTACAGATAAGAACCGAATAGACACCTATGCATCTGTCATGCAGATTCAATACATCAATACTTTGCTATATTTTCTCCAGGTCTCTTTTTTTCTTGTAGAAATAAAGTGATACAACTGCTAATAGTCCTTGTATAAAAAGTTCTCCAAAATATCCTTCTGACTTAGGATGCAGATGGTTAACTAAGAGGGTAATTGTTAGATGACAGTAATATGGCAGGTAGGTAAGTGAAAATTAAAATGAAACACCAGGACAGCATGACGTATCCCAAACGTGCTCACAATGTACTAATGTACTAATTGGGAATTATTTTTTATTTTGAAAAATTTGGAAAATGTCAATCACCTCTCAGTGCTTCATTGTCTGTCTTCTATATCCATAAAACCATATTTTACCTGTGACAGCAAGGTCTGCATGATTGAATTAGCCAGCTGAGAGTTCCTTCGAAGGACATCATAAAACCCCTAAGAGGAGTCAAACAGAGAACACATAAGCTCTTTAACAGATAACAGTCATGTGGACAATCACAGCATGAAAATAACACTATCTTACTTAACCCTATTTTCAGTTCATTGAGAAAAGATGGAGACTGTATTTGCTAGAGGGAGAAACATTTCAGAAAGTTCCTACTATTTGCCTATGCCCACACTGAAGAGATGTCTAAGCACTGAGAACCAGATTAGTAAACTGACCTTAATATGCTCACAATTTTTAAACACAAGTTCGCTTCTGGCCTTGGAGCATTTGGCTCCTTCAGTCAGAGGAGTCCGAGGCCCTCACTTTCCTGTCATCCTACATTAACAGCCTTCCCTTTTAGGGTGTTCTTTCCCCTTAGTTTTCATTGCTTCAAAAGTGCTTCCTGGCCCTAGATACCCTAATGTTAATGACTGTGGTATTTCCTTCCATTTAAAATTTCCCAGTTTTAGTTAAAAACAACTCAAGTTAAAGTCCTGGGAAGAACTTTCTTTTTGGAATAAGGAAAAGGGATTGTATAGTTCATCTGTGAATAAAAGCAAATGAGAACAGAACTCCCCACCCCAATTTGTCTTTTAAAGAAAAGGAAAATTAGTCTAACAAGTACTAAAATATTTTATAAAGTATAATGATAAATGACACTTGCGGGTTGACATAAAAATCTATAAATGAAATAAAGGAATAGCATACAAACAGAAATAGTACACATAAAGGAGGCAATATCTAAATAACTGTTAATCTGGAGAAAAAACTCAGCTCCTTATATATTATAGCAAAACAAACTCCAGATAAACTAAATAGCCAAACAAAAAACAAAAGCATAAAGAACTAAAAGAAAATGTGAGCAAATATTCATTGGAAGGATATGGACTCTTTACTTATAAAAATAATAGATGTCTCAAAGGAAGACTGATAGATTTAACAACAAAAATCTTTCTGTAGGCAGACCAACTTTATGGTTTTTCAATTGTCTTGATCATTTTAAATCCTTTACATGCCATCAAATTTTTAGTATCTTCTTAAATCAGAAAAAAAAAAAAGCCTAGGATTTTAGTTGGGATTGCATTGAATCTATAGATCTTTCCGAGACTTAACAACAGTGAGCATTTCAGTCTCTCCATTTGTTTACCTTTTCTTTAATTTCTCCCAGTAATATTTTGAGGTCATCAGTGTACCTATCATTTACATAATTTGTTAAATCTACCTTTAAGTGTGTTATTTTTATCTACTGTAAATATTATTTTATTTCAATTTTCAATTGTTCACTGCTAGTAAACAGAATTGATTTTTGCATGGTTATTGATCTTGTATCCTACAACCTTACCAAACTCACTTTCTGTAGATTCCTCAGTATTGTCTATTATACTATGTAAATAATGTACAGCTTTATTTCTTCCTTTCAAATCTGTATATGTTTCTTTTTCTTGCCTTGTTACAATGGACAGGACCTTTATTACAATGTCGGACAGAGTGTTGAGAGCAAGTATCTTTGCTCCCGACCGTAGAGGAGAGCATTCAGTCCTTCACCATTTACATTAGATGTAGATTTCAGACAACCTTCATGAGGCTGAGGAAGTTTCCTTCTAATGTTAATTTGTTCAGAGTGTCTTAGAGATTTTATCACAAATGGATACTGAACAAAAGATTTTTTGTTAAATAGATTTTAATATGTTCTGATCTTTAACCCAGCAATGTGGTCAGACATTCAGACACAACTCATTCATAGCAAAAAACTGGAAAAAACATAAGTGTCCGAATAGAAAGAAAAAGTTAAATAAGTCATATATCCATAAAGAGCATTATTTAGCAATAAAAATCATGTGTCAAAGGACATTTTATGTTTACAACATAAAAGCTATATAAACCTTAAAATTCCTATTTTGCATAAATATGGATATATGAGTGGTGGAATTAATGACAATATTTTAAAATATATTTTTCTATATTTTCCATAATAATCCTAAAAAATCCAGTGCCTGGAAACTACCATAGCTCATTAGATGTTATTTTAGGAATGTTAAATGAAGATACTATAATAGCTGCTCTTAGAAATTACTTCTATTTAATGTGTTTGCCAAAGTATCTACTGCTCTCTGTCCACCTATGAAATATGCATGCTGAGGTAACATGGCATACTAAAGACTAGAGATGGTGCTGTGTGTCCTCCATCATTGCACACTTTTGCTCCCACTGGCTGAATTACATGCCAATGAAAGTCGGTAGTATCTGTCCCACTCTTTTTTGCTATATTGTACTGTCATTAATTATGTGATTTAATCAGGCATCCAGTAAATTGTTAAAAAACAGTGAAAATGATCTGGAAAGACAAGAAGTGAAAGTCTCTAAAACTAATTTCTGATGAATTGGGGTAAGACAATAATAAAAATCAGGGAAAAAACTGAACACATCTAGGTTTCTATATTAAAACTGTATCTGAAGTGTCTTGTTTTTATCCCACTTTAGTTAAGCAAAAACTTGAAACTACAGGCAATAAATTAAGGTCATGATCTGTCTGTGAAACAGGAATTCATTAATAAATTGCAGACTCACTGCAGTCCAGATGTCAGACTTAAACTCAAAAACAAAAGGACTTGGCCTTAAAAAGACTGGCAAATTAATAGTACATTTAAATATTTCAAGTCAAGTTAAAACATTTTAAGGTGTTTTACTACCGTTTATGATTTCTTACCTTAAACAACTTATTGTCTAATGATCACTGTCAGTCTTAACTGCATCAAATAAGAGTGTATGTACTGTACTTTATAATCAGAAAAAAATATTAATTTATAAAGGATTATTAGTTGGGATGCTGCTGCTATATTCCTTCTACTCTGCCGATTTACCTCATAAAGCATGAGTCGAACATCAGCCTGTTGGCTTAAGCATCTCCTCAAACTATCCATGATCTCAAGGCAAAATGTTTCATTAGCAACAGAATTGTAACGGCTGTGGACATCCACATGGACCTGAAAGGAAGAGAGGACAGTTCTTGTCTATGTACCAAAGTACTTGCCATTAGGGAGGTAAAATGAGCCTATGTTTTTGGTTAGAGAAATTTAGACCAAGCTTTCCCCATGTGCTGAAACATGTTAAGACAGCTTTATACTCATCATCACTGGCCTATATAAGTGTCACTCTTATTTTTGTTTGGAATGAGAATTTTCAAGCATTTTAACAAAATTAACTCTTCCCCATTCCTTAAGGTTTCCTTGTAAGGTCAGTTACTTAGGAAGGCACACGGACTATTTCATGCCACCAGAATCCAGGAGTCATTCATATTCTTGATTTACTTAGAAGGCCTAAAAAGACTTCCTTAAATGTCTTCAGTAGCTAGAAGAGATATAGCTCTTTTTGCTTTCACAAAATCCTGAGCTTTAGAGAAAGGCAGCTTTTAGTTTAGAATTGGACATGACAAAGAGTGCCACCCTTCGATCTACATGATAGATTCAGCAGTTAGTTATAGACCGAAACTTCCTAACCCTTATTACAGCAAGTGGTTGATACTGATGAGGTCGAATCCCAGTTCTACCTGTTATCGGTTTTACCACCTTGGGCAGATTAGTTAACCTCTCTGACTCAGTTTTCTTATCCTTAAGATGGGGATGATGATAATGATATCCATGTTCCTCATATCTCATCTGTACCATATATTACAGATACAAGTTTTGTATAGTTATACTAGAGCAATAAAATAAGGATTCCTAATGAAACTTTTATATTCATGTCTGTTATTTACAAACTGTATAGTACATACTTTAAAAGAAAATTTTATTGCTCTACAGCCCAAATCACCTAATTGTAAAAAGATTTTTCACAAATTACAGGGTATAGTAGATGTTCAGTACAAAGTAAATAAACTATTAAAAATGGGGATAATAATAGTATGTAGCTTTAGAGAATTACTGTGAATATTAAATAAGATAATGAATATAAAGCACTTAGCATAGTGTCTAGCATGACAAACCACAAATGCAAGCCACATATATAACTTAACATTTTCTAAGTAGACAAATTTAAAAAGTAAAAAGAAACTGGTGAAACTAGTTTTCTTATTTAACCCAACATGTAATCAAAACAAAAAATTAATGATATTTTACATTCTTTTATTTTTTTATTAAGTCTTCAAAAGCCAAAAATGAGTTGCGCAGCACCACTCAATCTGGACTAGCCACACATCAATCAAGTGTTCGGTGGCACAGCCAAACTGAGGCTAGTGGCTACCATACTGGACAGCACAATTTAGCATATAGCCAATCTGATATTAGTAAGTGTTGGCTAAGACATTATCATCACCACCACCACCACCATCAAACTTTCAGTGTCAGGATCATCTGTACAACCAGACAGGAGGAAAAGAAAACAGCTCGCACATCATCGATTCCTGCCTCAATGCACACACCACAAGCCCGTGTGGACATTCCATACCTGGCTAGCACCGATTGACTGACTGCACTGAGAGGAGGACAAGCTGCCTAAGACCTTAAAGTTCTTCAGGAGCAGCAAAAACCCAGCAACTGCAGATTTCCGGGCATCAAGCTGCCTAGCTCAGGAACAGACAGAGAAATAATTAACAAACAGTATTAATTTTACAATAGGCTTCGGGGTAAGAAAAAACTTAGTTCTGGAACATGTGTAAACAAGGAATATGCATAACAATAAAGCAAAAAAACCCTGTACTTATATACTCAAAAAGGCACCAGCTATTCACAGCAATTAGTATAGGAATTGAGCTGATTTTTTTCATTATCTACTTAATGATCTCGAACGTGATCTCGTAACTATCTGTACTTTCTTCTACTCTTCTAACAAGTCCACGCGGGGAACGAGAGTAAGATGCTGCAAGGCTGTACAAAGGGCTGACATCACAATGTAAGTGCCGAATAGCAAAGGAAACTACAGTGATTTTCTGTGCGTCTGAAGGAACCCTTCTTTGTAGAGGACTGCAGCATCTGGTGCCCTGTACACTCTCTGACCAGAAAAATGATACACTCATCTCACTGAGGCTCAGTGATTCATTCATGGCATAGATGTTACAACATATAACCTTGGCTTGTCAGACATGCCTCTGGGCAAGGAGTAACTGTCTGTTCTAGAACAGGGATCATAGCATGTGGCTATTTACTGTTCCTCTGGATGTCCATGAATGATACACTGCAATACAGCCAATGTGATTTTAACTGGGCATCTCATACTTAAAGCACCAAACGCTTTGCACCTATTACTTGTCTCGTATTTTTGAGATGTCATTATCATCTCTAGTTTACATACTAAGACATAAAGGAAGAGAGGTCAGGATGTATTGACTAAGCCAAAACACAACTGAGCCCTCTCAATAATTTATTATTTACAGTCTCTAGACCACAATTGTGATGTTCACTACACTTCCTTTCTTGAATATTTCCTTCTTAATTGAAGCATTTTCCTTCTCAGAACTGTTGCCAGCTGGCACTGGGATCTTATCTTAAAGGTTATTCTAGGGGTGGATAGCAGAGTACTTTTGAATTGTAGCTCGAATTCTAGCTCTACCACCTATCTGTTTGTTTTTTGGAAAGTCACTTCGCTTCTCTAAGGCTAAATTTCCTGATGTGTAAAATGGGAAGTGTAAGAATCCTCACTTCACAGGACTGCTCTGAAGACTAATGAGATAAAGCACTTTGCACAGGGCCTTCTTTGATGCAGGTATTTCTAACAAGTCCACGCGGGGAACGAGAGTAAGATGCTGCAAGGCTGTACAAAGGGCTGACATCACAATGTAAGTGCCGAATAGCAAAGGAAACTACAGTGATTTTCTGTGGTCTGAAGGAACCCTTCTTTGTAGAGGACTGCAGCATCTGGTGCCCTGTACACTCTCTGACCAGAAAAATGATACACTCATCTCACTGAGGCTCAGTGATTCATTCATGGCATAGATGTTACAACATATAACCTTGGCTTGTCAGACATGCCTCTGGGTAAGGAGTAACTGTCTGTTCTAGAACAGGGATCATAGCATGTGGCTATTTACTGTTCCTCTGGATGTCCATGAATGACACACTGCAATACAGCCAATGTGATTTTAACTGGGCATCTCATACTTAAAGCACCAAACGCTTTGCACCTATTACTTGTCTCGTATTTTTGAGATGTCATTATCATCTCTAGTTTACATACTAAGACATAAAGGAAGAGAGGTCAGGATGTATTGGCTAAGCCAAAACACAACTGAGCCCTCTCAATAATTTATTATTTACAGTCTCTAGACCACAATTGTGATGTTCACTACACTTCCTTTCTTGAATATTTCCTTCTTAATTGAAGCATTTTCCTTCTCAGAACTGTTGCCAGCTGGCACTGGGATCTTATCTTAAAGGTTATTCTAGGGGTGGATAGCAGACTACTTTTGAATTGTAGCTCGAATTCTAGCTCTACCACCTATCTGTTTGTTTTTTGGAAAGTCACTTCGCTTCTCTAAGGCTAAATTTCCTGATGTGTAAAATGGGAAGTGTAAGAATCCTCACTTCACAGGACTGCTCTGAAGACTAATGAGATAAAGCACTTTGCACAGGGCCTTCTTTGATGCAGGTATTCTACTGGGCTAGGACGCTGCAGAACCACTGTGAACAGGTTATACGAGATGGCAGAGGGGACTTTAACAGGACAAAGCATTACTTTCTAGGGTCTCCTGGGCTGCTCCGTACCTGGCAAACATAGCTTTCCGAAGGACAAGTATCAAGGAGTCTCTCATTGACATGCTGACCTTCAGAAGGGGCTGAAAGTGGGAAGAGGGTAAAAATAGAACAAGTTTATTAGCCTTCGCTCATTTCTATCCAATACTGTTACCATTTACCTTATTTAAGAACTTCGGTTGTTTTACATACATGTTTTGATGTTTATTATTACATTTAATAATAAAGACAATAGTATCCTTTGAAATACTAAATTGAAACTAGTTGTGAATGCCTTCAAATCTACTGTCCTCAATAATTTTCTAAAAGCCTTTCCTTTCACTTACTTCGCTAACTTGAAAATGAGTCAAAGGCAAGAGAATAGTGCTATGAAAAGGGGGTAAATGTGGAAAGCAGAATCCAGCTCAGTGCGCCTGCCCTTCAATATAAAGTTTTATGCCTTAGAATCAAGGAATATAGGATTTCTTAGATGTACATATTTATGAAGTATATCAAACTTCTATCAGACCGTTCACCCTAAGTTCTGGCAACCCTCTTAAGGGTCAGAAGACTTACCTGCACTGCCTTTAGCAGCCCTTGTACAGTTTGAAGGGGCAGAAAGGATAAATAGTCAAAAGTTTCTGTGACTTTAGAAGAACAACTTTGAAGAGCTAAGGGTGCATACATGATGATATTTGAAAGCAGGTCTGAAAAAAAGAATTCATAATGAGTTGCCTCAACTAAAGACATTTCAAATAAAAAAGGGACAAAAGATTCAAAGAGATAGTGGATCAATGATACATAGTTAACAAATAAACACGGCAAATGCTCAGTATCATTAGGCACTGGGGAAGTCCAAGTGAGAAACTGAAGACCACAAGGATACACCAGCATGCACATGTCAGAACGACTACAGTAAAAAGATGACCATACCAAGTGCTGGCCCACAATGTGCACCACCTGGAAACACTGCTCGTAGGAATGTAAAATGGTACAACCACTCTGGAAAACTTTTAAACATACACCTAGCACATGATGCACCCATTCCACCACCAGCTGTTTTCCCAAGAAAATGAAAGTGCATGTCCTCAGAAGGACTTCTGCAGGAACGTTCATAGCAGCTTTATTTGGGACAGCCCCAAATTGCAGTTATAGCCACATCAGGGAATATGAACAATAAAAAGGAACCAAATATTGATACATGTGACAACCATGAAAAAACCTCGAAAGAATCATGCTGCATGAAAGAAGCCAGACATAAAATGGAGTGCATACTATAGGACTTCATTTATATGAAATTCCCAAACTGGCATTTAATTTCTAATGACATGAAGTGGAGTAGGCTGGAGATGGGAGGTTAGGGAGGAAGAGAGGGACAGAGGACCAGATTATGAAGAGATAACAGGAAACATGTATGGGTGACAGATGTGTCCATTTTGATTGTGGTGTGATGGTTTCACGGCTGTATACATATGTCAAAAGTCATCAAAGTGCTATACTTTAAATACGTAGAATAATTTGTGCTTCATTACTGTGCTTCAGTTACACCTCAGTAAAGCTGTAAAGAAAAAAGCAGAATCAAATGTCAAGTACTGAACCATAACATTTAAAGGTAGAAGAAAGAAAAGGAATCACTGAAGGAGAAACAAGAACTGATCACAGGAAGGGGAAGAAGCAACTGCTAAGTCATCGAGGGCCCATCGAAGGAAGTTTCAGGGTGTTAAAAACAGTGTCAACGACAAAGAAATAAAGAAAGTTGGTGGCTAGAGAAAGACCAGTGGGTTCAGGCAGCAGGAGGTATGTATTTGAACTTCAAATTCAAAGGCGACCTAAGAGACGGGACTGAAGGCAGAAAGTGAAGGGCTAACAGGGCGGGTGAGCAGTAGCACAAAGGCGGCACTCCTGCGGGAACCACCCCAACGAGAGGGGGAGCCCGTGCAAGACGGGCGCTTCGCATTCGTCATCTGCTCCTTTCCTTCTCGACAAGACAAGGTAAATGGTTTGCCTTACTGGCATCATAACCAAACATACTGCATTAAACTTCTGTATTGTTAAGCTTTTTTTTTTACCATGACCAAAAATTTTCATTACAACATTTAAATGAAAATATTCCTGAAAACTTGATCCACCCTTTCAAAGGTCAATACCTAAGAAATGACTGATGGGAGAAGATGCTCTGGTTACAACCCTGCTGAGGACTTGCTCCAGAATTTCTTGTCGGATTACCTCATGGATCTGAAAAAGAATAGAAAAACCAATGTATTCCTTGGTGACCTTCTGCTACAATTCCATGGTGCATATTAGGCAGAACAAAGTCTGGATAAAACTCGACTGTTTATTTCAGACAGATACAATGTGAATCAATCTGGAAAGACAGAATCACTCAACTGTACCATCGTCCTGTACTCAGATGATTTGTTAGCAGGGCAAACTACCATGTATACCAGCCTAAAAGACAGGGTTCACATGAAAGTACTGCTACATGTAATTAATGCCCAGCATCAGACAGGATTAATTCTACTTCAGTATCCTTTACATGCCAACGCCAACATCTGTATTTCTGACAGTATGTATAACTTTTATTTTAGAATGTAAAAGTCCATGAAAATTTCTAGAAACCTAAAAAATCTTCAACTCTACCCGTCCTCAGTTTCTGTAAGTACGGCAGCTGCCTAAAAAAAGACCTGTTTCCAATTTTCACTTGAATTTTAGTTAAAACTCCTACCTGAACTTATTTACTTTAGGGTACAAACTGATTTCTTTCAGGCCTCAGACTAATAATTAGATTTAGTAATAATAGATTACTTGCTCTACAGATGTCTTGACAAAGCCAGCATCTGTGTAATCAAATAGAACCTCCCTAGTTGTAAAAAGATTTATTTAAAAACAAAAGTTATTGAAGTCTTAGAATTCTAAGAATGCTTTAGATTACTATTTAGAAGTCATTTATATCATCTAACAACACTTAACTCTCAAGAACTATTATATGGCATTTACTTTGAGATTGGAACAATTGATTACATTTAAATTAGCCTCCAAGTGATATTTTCAGCAATTTCGGCAAGTGGTTATATTAAGCAAGTGAGTTACCAAGATGACGGAATCACTAGCAAAGTTTTTTAGACTTAGACATGATCTAGCTTTTTTTAACTTGAAGAGAATTTTTGAAAGCTGTTTCAGAGATTAAGATTGAGATGATAATTATAATATGATAATGAATTAAAAAATGTAAATTCTCCATCTTGGGTTTTTAAAAAATAATGACTAATAAGCATGATTTGTCAAGCTTGATGTTCCACCTAAAAAATAAACTTTTTAGGCACCTAAAAGATTATTTTTTGTATAAGGGAAGCATATTAAAAAAAATGATTTACTGTTAGAAAAGAAAATCATGAGAAAGCTAAATTATATTCAAACTTTTAAGAAACAGGAAAATTAATTTGAATGAAAAACATAGAAGTGAAGAATGAGAAAGTAAACATTCCATCAAACTGGATCTCTGTAATGTTTCAATTACTATCCTAATCTTTGTTCCCAGAAATGGCTATATACTCTAATTTCCTTGTCCCCAAACTCCCAGGGAATTGTCATGCCCTATTTATAATACAATTTAATAAAATTAGGGAATAGTTGCCCAACTTGAGTCTTACCTTAAAAGTTTCCAATAGGATATTAGCTCCCAGTTTACATGCATACTGGTTAGGCATTCTAGAAAGACCTGAGGTGGTTTCCCTAAGTATACCATCTAGAACCTTCTTTGGCCCATATAAATCCATTAAAAAGAGGCCAAGCTCTACCAGGCTCTGAGTAGCATAATCCCAACTGTGAACACTGCAAGAAAACAAAGCTTAGTTAAAAAGAAAAACTTAAGGTACTGAACCCTTATATTCATCGCCATGTTACGTATTTACCAAACATGACCCAGATAATCTGGCAAAATTCTGAATTCTTGGAAGTACAATGGTAGACAAGCAATCTCCAGTGAGAGAAAGAACAATGGAAAACCCCGACATTACAGGGTATTTAAAAATATACTGAAGAAATTGGAATATTTCCATGTACTGACCAAGATTTCATGACTAGTTAGTTGCTACCTCTGTTCACCCCACAACACTAACACTTAAAAATATGCTTATAAATTTGCTTACCTAACTAGATTGAGATTCTCTATGGTAGACACCATACTCTAGTCCCATTTTTACCCATGTAGTCTAGCACAAGCCTGGCATATAGAAAGCACTCAGTAAATACTTATAGTAGGAATATTTATATTGGTATTTATATATTCATATATTCAAATTTATATCATATTCATATTTATAGTATGGATGATAAATGATCTGATTTCAAAAGTATCAATTAAAATTAAATAACCTTTTGTAAAGAATAGAATCCTTGTTGATTTTATACCACTTAATGTTACCTATCAGTGGAAGTGATATGCTTATAATAACCTTTGTATCATTATAGCTACCTGGTACACAGCAACAAATGACAATACAGCACTAAAGAATGAAGGAGATTTGTGAATAGATTCTCTCAACATTTTGAGATTTTAGTAGTATTCACACTCTAGAGATCAATAGATTGAGCGTATGTTCTCTTCTTCCCATCCCAAATACATACCAATGACTAAAAAGATACACCTGTGTATGTCTATATATGGTGTATGCACACAATCCACAATAATGTGGAAAAATAAAGTGTTTCTGATTGATCAGAAATTATGAAGAATCCTTAAAAAGTGAAATCTAAGAATGAAAGAGGGGGCCACTGACTATAGTGTAAAATGAAGGGTGGCTCCAAAAGCAGACACCAAAGGCAGACATACTAGAAATTGGAAGGAACCCTGGGGCAGCTCTGTGGTGACTGGTTGGATACACCAGAATGAACAGCTTGGTAGCAGCGTTCTTCTCTACCTTCTTCTCCAAGACCCCACTGCACCCCAGTTTATGCCAAGAAGTGAGCAACAATGAGGCCCACCCTGAGATGGGATCTGTGGGTTCAGAGGCTTGGGCCTTAGAGGCAGAGCAGCCCTCTGAGAGGCTGTCAACATGCTGGAGCTCAGGGAGACCCCACAGGAAGATGAGCTCTTGGCACATCCTGCCACTATCCTCAAATCACAGACGTAGATGATGCTGACAGACAGGCACTGTCAAGACCAACGGTGGACATCAAAAGCAGTAACAGGAGACAACCAATAATCAACACATACAAGAAAACACTTCCACCTTGAAACAGAAGTACCGAACTCAACAAAGAAAATTAATACCTATTAATACCTAAGGGAAAAGGTCAATGGAACAAACAGAAGATTTTAAAAGTCTCATGAATATCCCCAAAGAAATGAGAAAGCACATTAGAGCATGAAACAAAAAACATACTGTTAAGGAAAAATAACCAACTGGAAATTTTGGACATGAAAAACTGCTTAAGTTAAAAACCCACGGACAGAGCTGAAGAACAAATTAATGAGAAGAGGTAAGGGATTTTTGTAGCATTTCACATAACACAAAAATATGAAAAGCATGAAAGAAAACTTAAGAGATATGGCACACAAAGAAATTCCAACTGCTAATAGGAGAAAACTGAGAAAAAGGGATTACTCAAAGAAAATAAAAGGGGAGAATCATTACAGAGTTTAGGAAGACATGAATCCTTACAACAAAGGGGGCACATCAGGGATGGAGGAAGGACCAGCTGGTCAGGTTCACATGCTTGCCCCTGTCAACTCAATCGCCGCTAGGCAATGCAGCCTCTACTTTATGTGACTGAATTCTTGGACCCCACTTACTGTGTTTTGGTGGAATATTACTGTATTTAGACTTGGATTTGCCTGGTAGTATCAAGAGTTAATTAGCACAGTTAATTATAGCATTTCTGCTGAACAAAATCTTCTATTCTGTGAAATTACACTCTAGAACTGCTAATTCAATTTCACCTATCAGTCCCAAACTTCAATAGTCAAAGTAAATAAAAGTTTTCATGTTTTTTACTCATCTAAAAAAGTAATGAAGACTCAAACTAACAAAGAGCTGTAATATCATGAAAGGAACAAACTATCTACTTTAGTTTTGTATTTTTGTTAAAAGTGTTGGCCAATAAATCAGGCCTTGGGATTTAAAGATCTTCCAGTACAGAAAAACCTTGATTTTCCATGGGATTAAACCTTGATATGTGAAGTCAACAGCCACAATCATTAGTTTTCTCCGATGGGCCGTTAAGTATGGCACCAAGCTACATTTTCTAACACTATATACCTTATGAACCTACTGGGGTACGGTTCACAAACTCACCTATTCTTTACCACTTCCAAGATCATGGTTGAAACACAAGGTCTTTGAAGGACTAGATTCTGAAGAAATTTTGAGCCTTGGAGAAGCTGAAGATCCTTAAAGCTTTTTATAATCAAAGCCTTTAAAAGGTCAAACACCTAATATAACAAAAGAAACAGAAAAATGAAGCAAAAGCTGATAGCCCATGCTGCAGTCTTAACCCTGTAATTATTTCTACTTGCTGCCATACACTTATTCTCACGACAACTGTTTCACTAGAAGAGTACGATACAAAAATCAGGACTTTCAGTGGGAATTTGGAAGAATTGAAGAAGGGCTTCCTTGAGAGAAAAAGGGCCAAATAAGCAATATAATAAATAGTATTCACAACAGGGAACACATAAGAAAAAACAATGAAGGATTTTATATTTTCATCCTTGCAACTAACCTATTCTCATTTATTTCAACTTGATCCTGAAAATTTCTTGGAAAGCTACCAACAGAATAAAACTGCTGGTGAATACACAGCTAAACTTCCCATTTTTGCTACATGGACTGTGTAATATATATTTCCACTCTCATTCCCACCTCAGCACTTGGCCTACTACACAATAGGAACCGGAAGTGTAAACCAGGTACCCGAGGAAGTCATCAAGCAGCCCCCAGACAACAGTGAGGCCTACATGTCCTAGAGAGCAACTGGCTGCTGGCAGGATGGGGATGGAATTATTTAGGAAAAGAAGAAAACAAAAGGCTCTTATATTCTTCATCAATTGCAGAAGGAACCAAGAAATCATTAATAAATACCTGTTCCTTATATCTTTGTATTCTTGAGAGAGACAGCAGGACGGCAATGCTGAAGGGACATACATTATTACGGAAATCTCCTTGCTGTCCTGTCTACAACAGATTAACCAAAAAGGAGTTAGTACTCACATTTTAAAAGTATAGCATAGTCTATTTTAAAACAAGTCCTTAAATGGGCCAGAAACCTTAGTATGAGAGCTCAAACTAAAAGGAAACAGCATAAAATCTTCAAGACCTTGGATTAGGCAAAGATTTATTAAATGTAATACCAAAGCCTCATTTATGTAAGAAAATAGCAGATAAATTGGACATCATCAAAATTCAAATTGTGTGCTTCAAAAGACACAGTTAATGAAAAGACAAGCCACAGACTGGGAAAAGTATTTGCTCATGACATACATGATGAAGGACTTGTAACCAGAATATACAAAGAATTCTTAAAATTCAGTAAGAATTTTAAAAATGGGCAAAAGATTGTACATATATTTCATCAAAGAAGATTTAGAACAGCTAATAAGTCATGAAAAGATGCTCAATTCAGTCATTAAGGAATGCAAAGTAAAAACTCAATGAGATGCTGGAACAGGTATAAAAAAGACATTAACAAATGTTGGTCGGGATGTGGAGAAACAGGAACCCTCATACAGTGCTGGTGGGAATGTAAAATGATGCAGTCACTTTGGAGACAAGTTTAGTAGTTTCTTAAAATGCTAATGCAAATTTATCATACAACTCAGAAATTCCACTCATAGGTATCTCGAGAAATGAAAACAGATGCCTACAGAAAGACTTTCACGTCACTGTTCCTAACAGCATTATTCATAAAAGCCAAAAAGTGGAAATTAAAATGTCTATCAACTAGCGAACAGCTAAACAAATTGATATATCCAATGTATTTATTCAATAATAAAAAGGAATGAAATGTTGACACATGCTACAACATGGGTGAACCTTGAAAACGTTATGCTAAACAGAAGCCATACGCAAAATATATATTGTATGATTCTGTTTATATGCAATGTCTAAGGAAAAATAAATTAATAGACAGAAAGTAGACTAGTGGTTGTCTGGGGATGGAACTGTGTAGTAACTATAAATGGGCATGAAGATCTTACAGGGTAATGAACATGTTCTAGAACCAGCTTATGGTGATGGGAGCACAACTAGGTAAACCTATAAAAAAAAAAATCCCTGAATTGCATACTTAAAATAGGCAAGTTGTGTGTTATATTACCTCAAAGTTTAAAAAATAGGTCTTTGAAACCTAAAAAAACGATACTCAAGAAACAAAAGAAAAAAGGAATATAAAATCAAAGATGAATAAAACAGAAAAACAAACAAAAATAAAACAGTGGAGTAGATTAAAAAAATACAAAGCTGGTTCTTTAAAAGACCAATATAGTCTTTTAAAGTTTATAGTTACTATAAATCTAAATAAAAAGAAGAGCAAACACATTCAGAGAAGGTGAAGGAGCTTTAAAGTCTAGTTCCAATAATGGTCTGTAAATATCCTTTCCTACAAAAGGGACCCAGGACTCACTGGGGAAATGGCTGCTATCAGGATGGGGCAAGGGAGGGACAAAGCGAGCCTTGGAGAGCTTATGCCACAGAAATGTTCAAAGAGCTGATAGGGTTGGTGAGACGGACACATGAGCCAACCTAAAGGATCCAGCTGGTCACATATGGGTCACTTTGAGTAATGCATAGTGAGTACACTAAATTTAAAAAGGTTCAAGGGTGATACTCAGAACAACAGGAAGAGGGAAGCTCTCCACAAAGGAAAACCAGCTAATGATGTAGAAGGAAAGACAGAATTTGAAGTTTTTGGTTTTCAGTCTACTATTTTGCAACTCCCAGAACAATTATGATTTAGGCCAAGAATTGTCAGTAGCTGGGAAAACAAAAACCACTGTGTTAAAGGTGGATGAGGAAAAGGATTTTCACATGACCTCACGTTATGATCCCATTAATTACTCTCTTATTACAAAGGAAAACATTTATCTTTGCAAATGAAGAAAACTCATGGTCACTGTCTTACCCAAATGTTTTAGCATCACTAGTAGTAAGACAGCTTGCTACTATTAGCCTTCCCATGTATACAACAGCAATACAACAGCAGTGCTTAGCAAACTATAGCCTATGGACCAAAGCCAGCCCACTGCCTATTTGTTTTTACAGCCCATGAGCTAAGACTGTTTTTTACATATTCAATTACTGGCAGAAAAAAAATCAAACCAAGAATAATATTTTATGACATATGTAAATTAAATTCAAATTCGAGTGCCCATAGAGTTTCAATGGCACACAGGTACACACACTCCTTCATCTCTGGCTGCTTTTTTGCTACAATGGTAGAGCTGGGTAGCGGTGACAGAGACCACACAGCCTGCGAAGCCTGAAGTAGTTAATATCTGGCCCTTTACCAAGTTTGCTGACCACCACAAGAGAAGGTGAACGCATCACTGTGAACGTATCAGAAACGTTTAACTTGAATCTGATCACAAGGGAACAATCAGACAAATACAACGTGAGACACACGAAAACTGGGCTAGATTACTCCAAAGATTCAGTTAGACGACACAAATCCTTACTCTTAGGATACGCAGATGGAAGTATACAGGCATTGAAGTGTCACAATTTCTTTTAAATGGTTCAGAAAAAAATAATGAAAAAAAAATCCTGAGAGAGAGAAAGTGAGATAAGGCAAATGTGGCAAAGTATTTTAATAATTGGTGAATTTAGATTGTGAAGGGTGTGCAGGTGTTCATTGTGCTACAAGGTTTCAACTTTTCTGTGGGTTAAAAATTTCAAAATAAAATGTTGGAGGAAAAAAATAGGTCCCTTATCTGTACACTACTTTTCTTTAGGAGTTTAAAACACTTCTGATTTTTATCTAACTACTCCATAAATATTTAATGATGAGTGACTTAGCTTTATAAAACCCGTACCACAAAAATAGGCATTAATACCCCCATTCATAAATGGGGAAACAGAGGTCAAGGTTTAGCTCACATAAGATCATGATGTAGTTAAGATTAAATTCTGAGTTTCCTTGCTGAACAGTCCTCATCTCTTTTTTAAGCACTAGAACATTTAAGGTATGGTTTTAAATGGAACTTGCTTGAGAATGTGATGACAACATGCATTTTCCACTTTCAAAGTAAAGGGATCCTTTAGACCCGGTGTCATTCTATAATATTTCTATTTGTTTCCTGGCATCAATTGGCATAAAAGAGCTTTGAGTTCAAACACCCCCGTTTCATAAAGAGATCTTGGATCACCTTAAACGTTTGATGCTACCTTTAAGTATTTTAGGAGTTCTCTGCCTAATTCACAGTCCAATTTTATGGCAAACACAATGTGTAGAATAACAGTTCCTTCCACATGACGAAGTTCACCTGATGACAAGGTAAGAAGATCCAACAGCCTAAAAGATTCAACAGAAAGGTATTAGCTATAGTTTGAGCAAGAGACAATAGTGCAGATGGCTCAACGAACAAACAGACCAACTCAAACTGAAATCATACTATCACTGGAGGCAGGCAGTAAGTACAAATTCTACTGCTCATTCTCTGCCCCATTTTACAATAAAACTTCCTGAAAGAATTATCTATAGACATTATTTTCACTTCTGCACCTCTTCCCAGTCAAATTCAATTCGATTAGACTTCTCTTCCCTCCCGACCCTCCAGTCAATGCCATTTGACTATTCTTCCAAAGGTTATAAATGACTTCTATGTTGCTGAAACCAATAATCAGGTCCCAACATACCAGCTCAGCAGATTTGACGTAATTAACCATTTCTTTCTTGAAACAGTTTTCCCCCTTAGCTTCTGGGTCACTGTTACTGGCCTCCTCTCAATCTTTTTCACTGGCTCATCCTCCCTTTAAATGGTGGAATGCCTCTGTGCTCAGTGCTGGGTTTCTTTCTCCTCACGGTTTCCCAGGGGACCCCATGCCCCATCCAGGGCCACGGCTATAGTCCTCTGTATCTCTAGTCCTGACCTCTCCCTATTAACTCTAGACTGTCTGCTTAACAATTCCATATGGGATGCCAATATTCACCTCAAACTTAATATGGTAAAAACTGAGCTCATTGTCGCCTAAACCTGCTTTTCTATCCACTCTTCCCTAACTCAGTATATAAGACCACCTTCTAATCAATTGTTCAAGCCAAATAACTAAGTTACTCTAGATTAGAAGCCAAGGCTGCAATAGGATTAATAGCATCAACTCCGCAGCCAAAGTGCCTGGATTCAAATCCCAGTTCCACCACTTTACAGCTACACAACCTTAGGAAATTCCATAACTTCTCTGTGCCTTGGGTTTCTGCATCCATGAAATGGAGGCAAAACAGGGCTACTGTGAGGTTTAAAGTGCTTAGAACGGCAACTGGCACAGAATAAGCACTCTGCAAATATGTGTTTTAAAAAAAACTCTTTCAAGACATACCATGCTGTGTTGTACCTTTGTACTAATTGCTCCACTGAGAACGTTCTTTTCCCAGATTTACATATTATGGCTCCTATTATTCAGGCTTCAATTAAAATAGCACCTTCTCTAAGAGATTTCCTCTGACCACCCAATCTAAAGTAGCTATGCTGTCACTATCTCACCATCCACGTGAATTAGCTACACAGCACTTTCCAATCTAATACTTTTCTTTTTATTTAGCTGTTTATTTTCTATTCTCTTCCCACTAGACTTTAAGCTCCATGAGAGCAAGGACCTCGTCTGACTGGTTCATCGCTGTAGTCCCAGGGCCAAATAGTGCCTGGCACAGAGCAGATACTTAACAAGTAGCTTTTAAACTTGCGACTTACGGAATAATCACTGCTATTTTCCTGGAAAGGTGCAGATGACAGTTGAAGAGGCCGCACTATTCTTTTAGCTTTAAGACTAAGTAGCTAGGAAAGGATCAGGGAAGGTCTGTGCTGAGGTGAAGGAAGGGGCTTAAAGATTAGGGAACAATGAAGAACTAAAATACGCAAAGAGAAGATGAACTTGTAAAAACGACTATTCCTATAGTGTTACTCACTCATCACCACTCTGCTCCTCATTGTGCTGCTTATCTAGGTCACTGAAGAAAGCTATGATTCCTTCCAAAACTCTCTTCCTGCCTCCCTGAAAAAATACAAAATAGGTAAGGTCTCTCCATAAAAGGCAGGAAAATCTTAAAACTACTTTTCAGCTTAAAGGATCCTCAAATATAAATTTAAATAGGTAAATAAATTACAACCTAAAACCACACTAAGAATGTATAGAACCCTTTCAGGCTGAAATTGGGTTTTGAAATACATCTTAATGCCAGACTTTAAGGGGCCTACAGTCGACTCCAAGATCTCTAGGTCTGGTACTACCACACGCACATACAGACTAAATGGGGTAGTACAAGAGATAATGTATGTTTTCTCTGGCTGAGAAACATGACCTTTTGACTAGGTAAAATCATCATTCATGAAATGTTATCATCTGTATACTTCAGTATATAAACCAAGAGTGTAAGTTGAATGACCCTAACTGGTCATTCAATTAGAGTTAAAAAAAAAAAAAAAAAAAAAACTATTCTGTATGAAATCTTAATGGTGGATGAGTAACATTATACATTTGTTAAAACTCATAAAATTCTATAGCACCGAATGAAACTTAATATATGCACGTTTTTAAAATGCAGGAGGCCAGGGATCCTTGAAATGAAGGCAGAATATGACAAGAGAATCTAACTATATTATAGACATGAAATTACCTCACTGAAGTGGGGTGGGAAGAGAATGTACTAACCTAAGTAACTCTGGAATTAAGTTGAGTCCATAAGACTAAAGGAAAAGGAACTTCTCTAGTTGAAAAAGTTGTTTCCCATGAGAGAAATGTAAGCATAAATGTGTAGTAGTTTAACCCTCATGAATGAACAATATTTTGGCCCGCAATTTACATTGTCATTGTGTAAGTACTTTATTGAAGGAGCGTAAGATCTTTTTCATTTTGAAAAAAGCAGTGAAAAGCTTTGAAACTAAAAAAGAAAAAAAACTGGGCTATCCAAGTTGCATACCAGTTAGTGATTTGCTATTTGAAAAACAAACAAGTCCAATTCAAAGTGGACAATACATTCTTCTTCACTGACCATGACATATACATCCATATAAATAATAAATAAGTACCTTAGTCAACACTGCAGCTAGAAAATTAGAAGAAAACGTTATTTTGCATTTATAGCAGTCAGTAGCAGGCAGTTTAAAGGCAGGTAACAATAATAAATAAAATTGTGTTAAGAGAAAAGTATCTTCTATCAGGAAAGTACCGTGAACTTTCTGATGTCTGTGTAAAAAGAATAGAGATTTCTTCTTCTGAACGAGTAAGGTAACTTAGACTTCAACATTTTTGTTTAAAATTTAGCTAATTTATATACATGGACCATGACATAGAACCATCATTTTAAGTACTCCAGAGTCAGTTCTTTAATTCTCAAACTAGGATTTCTTAAACAGTCTAATACCATGAGCTAGTTTTTTTTTAATTGAATAAGATATTTTTAATTAATTGTGCTCAAGCGTCCATTCTTGCAGTTATACTGAAGTCAGCATGCATTAATCTTAGCGTTCCTAGATGTACCTCTATACCTGCTACCTTAAGTATAGAGTATCTTATTTTCAAAGTTCATGTTTCTTTTTTACTGAAGTATCACTGATATGTAATCTTTGATTGGATTCAAATATACAACACAGTGGTTCATATTAGTAAATCCCTACTTCCACTAGTGAGGTTACAATCTGTCCATGAGCTAGTTTTAATGTTTTGAACTATGTGACTATGTGTCCTATTATTATGAGAAGATATGGAGTCAAAATAGAAGAAAATTGTTGAACCTAATAGAAAATGTAATGTGGAAAATAATGTAATGATCACCTGAACAAGGTTATAAACATTATTAAACATGAGAAATATTTTTATCTACTGGTTACTGAAAAAAATCCTAAATTATTTGTGTATATGCCACTAGCACTTGACAGAATTTAAATCTTGAGTGCAAATGCTGGTCTCAGTTGGCTAGTATTAGGGGATGAATCAATGTGAATAAAGTTCAATAAAACTTAAAAAAAAAACTTTTATTTATACCTTTGAGGAGAGAATCAAAAGCTGATATATCAAAGGTGGTACTTCTTGGAGATTCAATTTGGAGAACATCTTCAACACTTTTCCCATCACAAACTCCACCTCTTCTGCAGCCAGGGGGACATCCCTGTGGATCAAAGACTCTGGAGACCAGGGCCCGGTTAGGCCAGAGCCTAAGTCGGGAGACACTAGAAGATCACAGCTGCCCTTTTGATTTTTCTCTAACCTTACGTAAGCGAAGTCACCTTGGAAAATAATCATAGTTCTAGTTTAAGTAAACAATTAAAGCAAAAAGAGGTGGGGAAATCCTGTAATGGAAAACCGAGATACCTTACTTGAGGGACTCTTACTCGGGGGAGAGTAGTGTTTGAACTTGGTACATTTCAATTTAGTTCACACAGAAGGATACAGAGAAAAGGGAACAATGATGCTTACTTGAACATGGAGGTGAGCTGGATTACATATTGCTGATCCCATCTGGTTAAAGAAAATGACATGGAATATGAAAGTTTATCTCATTTTAACTTGTTTGCATAATATTTTGTAAAATTAGTAAAAAGGAAAAAAACTGGGGTCATTTCAAATTTGATTTGGTACCACTGAGAAACAAGGATAAAGAAATGACATTTTAAAACAATGAAATAACTGTTTTTAACCTGTCAGACTAGCAAAATCAAAGTCTGATGATATACAGACTTTGGGAAGAGTGAGACTTTGGAAAACACTCTTCACTGTTTTAGGGAGTCTACACTTATAAAACCCTCTGGGAAGACAAGTTGGCAATATTCGCCAACTTTAAAAATGGACATAACCACAGACACACTCAATTTACTATTATAAATATATCCCATGTACATGCTTATAAAGGGTTACCTAGATATATAAGGATATTCAGTGCAACATTTTTTATAATAGCAAAATATAAACAACCTAACAATTGGAGATTAGGCTAATAATATAACAAAATATTATGGAATTGTTAAAAAGAATGATGCAGTTACATGTGCTGACATGAACAGATCTATTAAATGAAAAATGCAAGGTATATAGCAATGTATACTGACTAAACATTTGTGAAATCAAAAACAAATGAATAAAATGGTTAAATACCCATATGCTGATACATGCCTAAAATTATTTATGTAAGGGATCTTTTGTAAGAAACCATAAAAGCAATTATCTCTGGCTTACATAATCTTGGGTATTACCTTCTGGTTCTTTTTACTCTATCCAAGCACAATCACAGTATTATACAATTTAACTTACAGAACTTACATACCATAACGTACATGTCTCTATTACTGTATGCTTAAGTTGGTCACCAATTTATGTATTTAGTATGTTCATGTATGAGGATTTTCTTATATGTTGGAGTCTTTCCTTGAGGTAGATTCCTATATTTCTGGTTTAAAGATGCAAATATTATTTACATACCCCACTCCCTTAAAAAAATATAAAAGACACAGCAGCAGGGGAACTTCTCAGACTTAAGGGCCTTGGGACTCCAAGTAATGCTAGAGGACTAAATTGCTATGTTAAGATGGATAGTCAAGTAAAATAAAACCTATATAGTCTTAGAACACAGAATATATATAAATAATCTCTCAAAAATTCATCACAGACTAAATGGTCTTATAGTGGCACATTGTAAACAAAAAACAGACTGAAAACTTCAGTGATATAAATTCCTAAAATAAATGCCAATCCTTTTTTTGGTCACTTGTAGTCCTGAGAAAGTTTTATATATTAATTAGAAAGACTCACGTGCCAGAACAGAGGGTGCTAATCAGCTGCTTCTTACATTCTTCCCCACTCAGTTCACCTACAAATGCAAAATACACTAAGAAATAAACCTGATTAACCGAATAGAGACAGGGCCACTAAAATTGGAAGAAATTACCTTTTCCATAAGCCAGACTTTCCTTTTTAGTAGCAAGGGCAGTGAGGATGACGGGTAACAACTCCAAAGATTTTCCATTCTTGAGGCTGCCCTGTTTGATAGCACCAATGAACTCATTGGCTAACTCAATCAGTAGTACTCCTGGAAAACTGGGGGCCTAAACATTGATGAGATAAAGAAAATGTTAAACAGAAATATAAATCTGTTTGTTATCTCTTCCAAAGAAATGAGAGTCTTTTGCTGAATTAATGGAATTAGCATTGAAACCCAGAACTGGTCCTCTAGGGGATTCAAGGAATTGTTCTGCTCTGGTACAAACTTAACAATTGTAAAGGGTTTCCAAAGGTCGGAATGCACCACCAGTTCCCTAGGTTTTCAAATATGCCAACTCTTCAAATAGATACATGTCCATGATACCAGGAACATAATGCAACCATCTAAATGGTTTATGGTCCATCTATCAACTATTTTGTTTTTTAACAGTAGCTCTTATTCATAAATAGGACTATGCTAGGTTTGGTTTTCCTTCCCTCAACAAATGACAAACCTCCCAAAAGTTACCCAAAACCAAAGAAGATTTTGTTTTCCATCTCACCTCCAACATTAGTAATCCTATGATCTCAGATGCTACTTCTCTCTGTAAATCCCCCGATTCCACCAACTGGATACAACAAGTATATACCTTAAGTCTCCTAAGAGCTCCATCTTCCTCAGAGCAGGGAGAACCTTATTGTTTTAAAAAGGTGGTACAGAAACAAAGAAAAAAAGAAGAAGTCTTACATGGTTGAAGAGCACAGAGGAAAGACAAATAGCTCTATAGTTTAATACAGAAAAAGAATTATCAAACTACTGATTACACTATGGTTTAGAACAGCAATACACAGGTACTTTGAAAAATTTAAATTAGGTAGATGACCGAATTGTCATCTCCCAGCTACTCATTAATTTTCAAAAAAATTCCATAGGACAGGAGAGATACCTTCTAATATAGCCCCTTTTGGGTCCAGTAACCCAAATTCAATGTCTTTAACATACTTCACTTCAAAACATCACCACTGAGTGAAGTCAGCAGGAATGGTGGAGTAATAAAGACTTTAGAAAATCCTGTTTCATAAAAGCAGTAAGAACACTTAACAAAAATTGTGAGAAACAACTTGTTCAGAACTCTGGAAATTAACCAAAGGCTTGTAACAATCCAGGAAGTGTTTACTTAAGAAGAGCAGCTGAATCTCAGTAAGAACAGCAACTCTGTGATGTTTTAACATGCCCCGTCCCCCCAACCCACCATCCAGCCTAGTAGTCTTTAAAACCAACAGCCTCCCTGTCGTGATTAAGGTCAATGTCTAGCGGCCTCTGGAGGGGACAGAATATGGTTCAGCCTCCTCCAAAGCCCAATTCCTAGATAACAGTCATTTGTCATTATATGATCTATCAGGCTGCTCCCTGGCAATTTTCACTAGCAAAACTTGTCTTTATTTAAACTTGTCTTTATTTTACGTGATTTAGAACTTGCCCAGTGCACACAGTCTTAACCTAGGGCTTTTGTCTAAGTCAGTTAGCTGATTAGTATTTTAGCTGCCTTGAGGGAGCAACAGCAGTTGGACAAGCAAGAAGCTAACCAAACACTTTTCAAGGAAATCCTGGAAAATATGTGCATAGGGGGTTTTGAAACATTCTGACATATTCCTGGGAATCTAGACAGCCAGGCAGATACTCAGGACTGCACATGGCCAGGCCAGACCCACCAGGAGCCTTCGCTCTCGCCTCTGCCTGACCGTGGGCTCGGCACAAGCGGAAAGGCTGTAAGGAGTTACAGACTACCTGCTGAGCACTGCGAGTGTGCCCCCGACACGCGCAGGGCCCCTCAGCAAAGACTGGGAAGCTCACTGGTTCTGGGCATCTGAGGAAATCCTTAACCAGTCACTAACTGAACACAAAGTTAACCCAAGACTTCAGTGGCCATACAAGTGGTGCCTGTACACAATAAATAATATACATATTTTATAAAACTCTTCAGAAGAGCCACTATAAAAACAAAAGGAACACGAGAACAGCACCAGATGTCTGGGGTGGGAATGTGGGAGGGGTGGGGACACTGATATCTGACTTTTGGAGTTTCCATGAAGTATCATCTAATATGTCCAGTTTTCAACAAAAAATTTATAAGACCTGAAGGGAAATGAGAATATGGCCCCAAAAGAGGAAAAAAAACAAATCAAGGAAACTGTCTTTGAGAGAGCCCAGACATTAGATTAAATTAGAGAGATTTTAAATCAGCTATTTCAATTATGTTCGAAGAACAAAAAGAAACCATATCTAAAGAACTAAAGGAAAATACAGGAGTGATGTCTCACTGAATAGAGAATATCAACAGGTAGAAATTATTAAAAAGAACCAAATAAAAATTCTGGAACTGAAAAGTACAATAACTGAAAAACCCAGTATAGGGGGGCTCAACAGATTTGACATGGTAGAAAAAGGAATTAGAGAACTTGAAGGGAGGGTAGTTACCCGGATTATCTAGTCTGAGGGACAAAAAGAAAAAGACAGACAGAGCCCCAGAGACCTGTGGGACACCATCGTGAGTATCAACACAGCCGGAAGGAAAGACAGAAGAGGGTAGAAAGAAGTAAATGACCAAAACCTTCCCAATGTTAATGAAAAGCACTTACACATTCAAGAATCTCAATGAACTCTAAGAACCACACCTAGACACATATCACAAACTGTCAAAATCAAAGACCCCTCATCATAATAAAGGCCATAGGTAAAAAACCCACAGCTAACATCACACTCAACGATTCAAGACTGAAGGCTTTTCCACGAAATCAAGAAAAATATAAAGATACCCACCTTTGCCCCTTCTATTCAACATTACATTGAAAGTTCTAGACAGAACAAGTGCTCTGTTTAGTGACACAGAACTACAGATTTAAAAACAAAGTAAATGACAGAGAGAATCTTGAAAGCAACAAAAGGGAAACAACTCATCTGTTAGTTTAAGTGGATCAACTGTATATGCTGATCACAACTCAAAAACAGAATTGTATACTTTAAAAAAGTAAATTTTTTAGTATGTGGGTATCTCAATTTTTAAAAATATCATTAGCTAAATATCGGTCCTTTACACTATCAATTTAACAAAATTAAAATGATTTAGGAGGTAGTTTCCACAAATACTTGATAATTCATGCTACTTTAAAACTTGGTTTCCCAAATCTACGTTTATAAGTAGTGTGAAAATATGGTTACAAAAGTGGGAACTATGATATATCTGTCCTACGTGTGTCTGTCCAAAAAATTAATTTCTTTTACTTACTGGTGTAAGTATATACACAGCTGCTTCTTTCATTATTTCCTTTTCTCTAATATTTCTACAAAATAGTCATTTAGTAAATTTCCATAAAGGCTGATTCAACCAATTTTGGAAGTTTTCATGAATAGGGAGATGTGTTTTTGGACCCTGTGGCAGAGACCTAATTAATTTAGCAGGAGAGGAAGAGAAAAATGAATCATGTTCAAATAACTAGCTAACAGTCTAAAGCTACTTCAAAATTTTCCCTTGTAGGATTTTATCCTACCACAATTTATTAAACTACTGTCAGTCACAATCTGCAACAATGTAGGACTGGCCCTTATTGGAGATATGGAAACAAATATGCAATGCCCTGCTAGGAATTTAGATCATCTACCTAAGTCATCCAAGGTACTCCATTTCATTAAACCCCAGAGCTCCCTAGCCCCTTGTTAACCACCAGTTAAGTACAAATACTGTTCTTCTCCACCACTGTAAAAGCACAAGTAAACCCAAGAGGATTTTATGAAGTACATCCTTTATGGGCCCCCAAACCAGCAATACAATCTCAGGTAGCCATTTCAACCCCCTTCGGTAAAATTATTTAAGTCCAAAGTAAAGTGACTGATGCTTCAGTTGATTCTGCAAAATCCCCCAAACACAGAAGAGTCTCGGTGGGGCTTCAAACAGTAAAAAAGTAGCATTATGTGCCAAAAGTAAACCAATCTACCAGTGAACTCAGGGGATGGAAGTGGCTGGAATTATTGTTACCTTTGAAGACGGCTCTCAGGAGTGCTCCAGCAGCTCTTCCTTTCACCGCCTGATTCTGAAGGACATTAGCCAGCTGCAGGCAGAGAAAGGAAAGCTACAAGTCTCTGGCAACAATTTCTCTACCCCCAGTGAACTCAACTCCCACTAGGAGAAACACTCATCTGTCAGGTCCCTATATGGTGGAGATCCCAGGTTATCACAATTAACAGTTACTTAGATAGATTTTAACAGGTAGGCCTGTCAAGACTGAAATTTATTCATATGTCATTCCACAAACATTTACTGAGTACTTACTCAGTACTAGGTACTGAGCTATGTTCTTAGGGATTATACATTCAGCCAACAAGTACTTTCTGAACATGTTCTTTCTCCCAGGCACTAGGGATACAAGAATGACTAAGATGGCGATGATAATACGACTCAAAGTCTATAGCAAAGCAGTGGGAAAAGAGTGGCAGAAAGAAAATTCAAGAAAAAAAATTTGTAAAGGAAACAGAAAGCTGAGATAGACAATAATTGAGGAAAGGGAGGCAACTTTAGCTAAGGGTAGTCAGGGAAAGGTTCTCTGAAGTGTCATTTACGCAGAGACTAGGAGGATGAGAAAGATGTGGTTACACAAATGATAGGGCATTGGAGATAAAGTATCATTATGTACAAGAATTGTGTCCCATTCAAAATCCAAGTGTTGAAATTCTAACACCCAGTACCTTTGAATATGACCTTATTTGGAAATAGGGTCACTGCAGATGAAATTAGTTTTGTTGAGGTCATTAGGGTGGGCCCTAAACCAATGACTAATATATCCTTTTAAGAGGGGAAATTTGGACCCAGAGACATGTACACAGCAAGTATGCCATGTAAAGAAAGATGAAGGTGAGAGTTCAGAGTGATACAAGCCAAAGAACACCAAAACCTGCCAGCAAACCACTAGAAGGTAGGTAATAGAGGCACACAACACACTCACCCAGCCCTCGAAAGAAACCAGCACTGCCCGCACCTTGATCGCCGACCTCTAGTCTCCAGAACGGTAACATCTATTGAGTACCTGTTGTGTGTTAGGCTGTGTGCAAGACACTTTCCTCCCCTTCTTCCTTCTCCCTCCACTCATGTGATCTCAGGTCTTCCATTAGGACTTTGTTCAGATGTGCCCTTTACTGCATTTTTAAAACACCTAGATATGCTTTTTACTGTAAGATTAAATATCCTCATTAATTTGGAAGATTTAAATTTTTTTCTTTTAATTGGTAGGCTGGAACTACCAAGTTGATGCACACTCCAAATAGAGACTTTTTTTTAATAGAACATTCCTCATTTTGTGTTGTCTCATGTTTCCTTGTGATTGAGTTCATGCATTCCCAGCCACTACACAGGCTAAGAATACCTCCCAGAGCATCACACCTGGAGGCATGTGATATCCATCTACACCTCATTGATAACATTCATTCTCATTGATCACCCAGTCAAGTGTGTTGCCCTGATTTCCCCACTTTGTAATTACTTTTTTCCCCTTTGCAACCAATAAGCAGTTTGTTGGGAGGCACTTTAAGACCATTCAAACATCCTGCTCCTCATCTAACGCTCCCTTTGCCTAATGGAAAATCCTGGCAGCAACCACCATCGGCAGGTAATCAGTCTGTACCAACAGGAACTACACTCACACTGTGAGCCCTGGGACGGGATACACTGAAGGGCAGGGCACCACCTCTGTGGCCCCTTTGCCAGGGATGAATGAACTCAGTCCAATCATGAGACACACCAGACAGGCACTAATTGAGACATACAGAAAAATAACCAATCAATACTCCTCAGGGCGATCAAGATCATAAAAGACCAAGACCAAGAACTGCTTCAGATGGCAGAAAATCAGGGAAAAACAACCACGAAGCGCTGTGTAGGATCCTGAGTGGGATCCTGGAACATTAAAAAAAAGGACATCAGTGGAAAAACTATCAGGTAGAGTTAGCATAGGGTCTTTAGTTTTGCCAGTGGTATTGTACCAATATTAATTTCCTGGTTCTTAAAATTAGTCTAAGATGCTAATACTGGGGGAAGGATAGATATATGGAAACTGCATTATTTTTAAAACTTTTCTGTAAGTTTAAAAGTAGCTCAAAATAAAAAAAAATTCTCCTGGATTTAAAATCCATTGATGCTTCTTGCCAGATCCAATCTTTACTGTGATAGGTACAAAATAATGGTTTGCTAACTCTAGCATGGTTAACAAGAGACCTCGCTTGTCCCCATTTTTTTTTTATTACCAGTATGGGCTCACAAATTTCTGTATTTTTTTAATGGCTTGTAATTCATAACTGAACTTAAATTACTTTGATGTTCAAACAGTCCCACATTTGGGCAATGAAGCCCCTTCGAGCTGTCTCCTGTGTCCTTGTGACATGCCGCCATCTTTTTTTCTGAGCACTTCTTTACCTTCTGGCTTAGCAGGATGTTCCAGGTTCACTGTGTATCCATCATGCCCACCCATGAAATTAGCCATTTCTCTGAAAAGCCCTGGTTTCTTTCAGTGGGGAATGGTTACCAGAGAAAACACGTGCAGTCCTGTGTTCAGTGTGAGGTATAAAACTTTTAAGGGAAATGTTAGCAAAACAGGAAAGTTCAGAAGTAGTCACGTTAGAGAAGGAATTTAAGACCAGGAAGAGTTGAAGGAACTTTTCCAACCTATATTCAGTGTCTCTTAGATGTTAAATGCTTATATAATTATCTCATTTCATCCTCACAAAAACCAAGACATACAGACTCTTTTTGTGATAATCAAGAATCAGAGAAGCAATTCACAACATCTATTTATATCATGGATTTTCTTCTAGTTCTTATATATTTGCCTGCATTATTTTATAGTCTAGTGTTAAAGCCTCCTCAAATTCCTTTCAAAAGCAGGTAAAACATAATTCTAAATAAATTCATTAAAAGCTGGTTTTAACCAAACGTTAAATTATCTAAAGGATGATTCAATTTGCAGCTCAGGCAATGGGCTGTCTCAAAAAGCTGCTGCTATAGCAATCTTGGATAATTCCAAAGAAAAAATCAGAGCACATCCCTGTTATCAATCCCATTAGTGTCAGGTAACAGAGCCTAACATGCACCTAGCTTTAATGACCACAACAACACTAGCACATAAAAATTCCCTTGAAAATATAATATTCAAAGTCTTATTAATATACACATATGTTTAAGGTTAATCTTAAGGGTTTCTTTTCCACGGAGGGATCTGAACAGACTGAGATCAGTTATAGAAAAAGAAGTAAACATGGAGAGTGAGAATATTAGGAAGAATGAACAGCCTAACAAAGTAATTATTGTCCCATTTTATAATCATATTATGTACAGTGAAGACAGAGTTGGTTTCTCTTTCATAATAATTTCAAAATATTTTACTGCTTATGAATTTATCTTCTTTAGGGGAAGAACACAAATAAAACATCAATAGGCAAATCTAATGTCTCACATCGGTAACTGTAGTCTGGATATTACTTTCAACTAGGATTGTTCTAAGAACCACAAAAATATACTAATTTGATCATATACATACAGTTGCATAAATGTTGTTTAAATGTTAAGTTGTACACAAGCATCCTTAGGTTGTCTATTTCTCTCTCTCTCCCCCTTTTCTTTACATCTGTAAATTGTTAGCAAATAAATCCTCATCTCCTACAGAGAGTGAGGGTAGATTAAGTGGCAGAATAATTTTTCTCTAACTCATCCTTTGACTCTGTCATCACGCTTGACATTTGCTTTTAGCAGAACATGCTTCCCAATACTCACGTCATCTTCTTTCAGGGTTCGAAGAAATTCCTGCAGTCTGTCTGCTGTTTTATCTTCTGCTAGAGATAAAATTTTCTGGTCCATTGTCACACACATCAGGGAACTGTATGGGGAAAATGTCAGAAGTGATGAAACTTCCAGAAGTAAACAAGCTTCATCTTCTTCCTTCCCTACTTGTTAACTGAGTATTTCATAGATATTATACACAATGTCCACAGTGGGTACTCAACAGGCTAAGGACTGCTAACTAGTATGAGTAGGTGATTCTTAACTAAACCAAAATAATCTCAAGAATTCTCTGGAATTTCCTTATTAGAAACTTGCATTCTAACCAAGTGGTTTCAGAGGTTTTGCCCACACTTTCATCATTTTTTTAGCATCTACCTAGCACATTGCCTAGAACAAAGCTGTCATTTAACAGTGCATCAAATATGCAATTATACAAACAATATGTATTATAAACATATAATAAAGCAATGTTTGATATGAATAAAGCACCACTGTAACTGCAACATGCCAATTAAACGGTCTAAAAACAAACGAGAAGTTAACAAGGCTAAAGAAATAAAGGTGTCCTGTGTATCAATAATACCTTAATAAAAAAAGAAAGAAAGAAATGTGTCCTCAAATGTCAAGAAGGCTTCCTAGCAGAAGAAAACTTGAACTGGAACTTAAGAGAAAATTTACATAGTGAAGATAACCAGATGGTATACATTATAATTACTGAAAGGAAAGAATCATGAACGATGGCATTTATGAAAATTTGAGAAACCTATCTGGGGTAAAATGAGTAGATTGCCTGAGGTAGAGAGTTCAAGCAAGGGAGAGGGATTAGGAAGGTTACCAAGTCAGGACGGGAACAAACTGTGCCCAGGTCTCAAATGCACGTTAAGAAATTTAGATTTTATTCAGTAAGTAACAGAGAGCAACCAAAACTTTTGAAGCAAAAGAGAATCTGACAAGATTAAAACAGTGCTTGAGGAAAATGACTCTAGAGGCTAGGCGGTTACCTGGGGCTCTCTCAGCAGTACTGACAAAGGCTTGTCTGGGAGTGGAAAGGAGGAAATGGAGGTACATCAGGCAGCCAGGATTCTGGGAGTAGCTGTGGGAGAATTACGGGAAGGGGGAAATACATACAGGTTTGAGGGAATAAAACGTGCTCCTCCTCCGGTACTTCCTCCTGTTTCCCATCTCCAGGAATTGTACCCTCACCCACTCTGCTGCTGAAACCAGGAACTTGGGCAACAGTCTTAACTTCACCTTCATCGTCTGCATCCACCGCCAAGCCCTGTCCATGTTTACCCCCTACAGCTCTCTCAGGGCTGCTTCTCCATCACCTCTCACCTGACCTACTACAAGGCGTCCTGTCTCCCACACAGCAACCAGAGTAACATTTTTGGAACACAAATAAGATTAGGTGACTTGGCCACCCTCCATCTCCACCCTGAACCTCTCCAGCGGCCTCCCACTGCTCTCTTATGGAGAAACCTTCAAGTCAGGATTAAAAAGCCCTGCAGGGTCTGGCCCATTCCTAACTCTTCATCACTGCATGGTTCAGCCACACTGAACTGCTTTTGGTCCTTCAAACTCCCAAGTCCCTCCTACCACAGGCCCTTACACATGATTTTGACTGAGCTTAACAAAAATACCCCTCCCTTTTATGTCACTTTCCCACTCTTTCATTGCTAAGTCTTACAAATCCTTTCATCTCACCAAATCCACAGCCTCAGAAGCTCAATCTAGTTTAAATGCTCCCCTACGGCATCCTTTCAAAGCAGCAGTAATCTCTCTTTTACTATCACCACACTTAACATTTATAATTATTAGATTAAGGACTACAGCTCCCTCTCAAGAATAAACTCCATGAGGGCAGGGGGCCACCTCTGCTTTTATCACTGAAAATCCAGTATTTAGCACAGTAACAAGCTCTTAATAGGTGCCCAACAAATAAATAACTGAACAAGTGAATTAGCGAACGCCTACAATGGGCAAGACCCTGGGCCGGGCACTTTATATTCATTAATTTGATACTTCCACCAATCCTATGAGGCAAGGTGTTATTAGCCCCAATTTGGATGCTCTTTTGGGATTCTGACAGATTAAGGAATTTCCTCAAGGTTCCTAGCAACAATTAAGTGGCGGGGACAGAACTGAAACCCAAGTCTGTCCAGCTCCCATGCTTGTAAAAACTACGCTTCCCACCCCCGCTAGGACCTGGGCGGCCAAGGGGACGCAGAAAGGGAAGGCCGACCCAAAGAGGCCTCCAGGCGGAAGGAATATGCTGAAATCACTACATTTCAGCAGGCATTTTACTAGATTCGTCCTAAAACCAGAGATCAGTAACAGACAGGTGGCTGCGAAGTCCCTGTGCGCACAGCAGATTCCTCGCTCAGAGGCCCTGCGGCAGTGAAACGGCGCCAGGGCTCCCGGGAGAGCCAGACGTAAACAAAATCGAGGCAGCTGGTGATGCGGGCTGTTACCGAGCTGCAAAGGCGAAACGGGGTTGAAAAACTTCCCGGACGTGGGAGCTGAGCCGCGATGCGGCGGGAAAACTAACGGGAGGGCTGGCGCTGGCGCTCCCCGCGGAGAGGGATCTCGGACGCCAGCGACGCCGCGGGGCTGGCGGGCCATCGATCCTTCCAGGCCAGACGCCACAAGGCACCGGAGCAGTCCTACCTCGCAGACCCGCTCCCTCCCGGGGGCTGAGTCCCACCGCCAGGGCAACGCGCGAAGCCTCCCGGCCCGCTTACCTCGGCCTCACCGCAGACGCCAACTTCCAAAAGGCCCGCTCAACGGGACGCCGCCGCACTTCCGTCACCCGGGACAACAGGCCCCGCCCCCACAGCTCACTTCCGCCGCCGGGCGCCGGCGGGTGGGGTGTACCATTAAAGGATGGGGTGGGGAGATTGTTGGGCTCGGACGTTCCCACTCACAGCCCGGGGAGGCGTGGCCTGCGACCTCGAATTCTTTGCTGGTGACCCTTAAGCTTGTTTTACTTCTACCATGTTTCTGGCCCAATAGAGAGATGTGATGTGTGGCTAAAACACAGCAGCTGAGTTGAGAGATTATTCCTGGGAGGAATCCCATAGCTTGCCAAGGAAACAGATGACTCTACCTCATCTCCCCACAAAATTTCCCTTCCAGGCTGCTTGTGGAACTGGAACATGCAGCCACGAATTTGTGTGTCTGAGTAGCTCAAACAGGCTCATTTGCTTTTTTGAGCCTACATTTGTGCATCCTAGTGCATTTACTGAATTGCCTGTGTGAGGCTCTGCCCCCTGGCATGGACAATTCAGGGTTCTTGTCTCCCCTGTATAAATGTATCATTTGTGTTTTCTGTTAGCACTAATGGATGTTACATATGCAAAGGAGGAGAACAGACTGAGTTTAATAACAGTGTTTTCCACCCTGATGGAATCTTCCTTACTAAGCAGCAAGCATTAAGCACCTCCTTCAACCAACTAGGCTCTGTACACTGGGAAGCACACTCATTCTAGAAAACAGCTAGTTAAACATAGGTTTATATAATGGAAATAAATATTCTTCAGACTTCTCAGTAGTTCATGTTTATGTAAAAACATAGTAATTACTGATATTTGCAGGAGTCCCAAAAAGAAAGGACAAATGGAGATCCCCTATCATTCCTGACTCAGTCTTGCAATGTGAGGGGCTTTCTTTGGGCACCCAGCCCAAAGATCCACACCATGCCTCGCCCCTAAAGCTGCCCTTGGCTACCCTTTGGAAACAGACAACTGGATAAACAAAATGTGGTTTATCCATACTTGGAAATCCTGACACATGCAGCAACAGAAATGAACCTGAAGGACATTATGCTAAGTGAAATAAGCCAGTCACAAACACACAAATACTATATAATTCCACTTTATAGCCACACGAAGTATCTAAGTAGTCAAAGTAGAATAATGGTTACTAGGGGCTGGGGAAAGGGGACAGGGGAGTTGGTTAATGGGTATAGAGTTTCAGTTTTGCAAGATGAAAAAGTTCTGGAGATCTGTTTCATAGCAAGGTGAGTGTACTTAACACTACTGAAGAATATACTTAAAAAATGGCTAAGATAATAATAACAATAATAAAAAGGTAACACTACCTAGGCAGCCTACAGGATTATTAAGAACCAGCTGGCTCTACCCTGAAGAAATTCCAATTTGGTAGGACTCGAGGCAGGGGTTTAACAGCTTACTATTTGTATCCCCATATCTAGAAAAGTGGCACATGGGGTGCTTCATAAATATTTGTTAAATGGGTGTAAAATCATGACCACGTCCTTAGGAAAATAAGGACTTAAATTATCCCTATGAAATGTTAAATTTCAAAACTGAAATTTTGACTTTATCACTACTTTTGAAGCTTCCTGTGAATTTGCAATCATTTGAAGATTAGAAGTTCAAAACAACAAACAAACCATAAAAAATGTCAGTTCCCTTCACCAACTCCATACCTTACTGTTAGAAGGCCTAAAGGGGAGGTAGAGGAGGAGAGAAAGGGGAAGCAGGAAAGAAAGTAATCCTTAAAAACTTTTTCAAGACCCTTACAATTGGCTATATTTGATTAAGGCTTATAGATTATCCAATCGCATTATATCAAGGTTCATTTCCAGATTTTGATAATTGTACTGTGATTAATTAAGAGAATGTCCCTGTATTTAGAGAATACCTGGGGAAGTATTTTGGAGAAGAGGGCCATTGTGTCTGTAACTTACTCTAAAGTGGTTTAGGAAGAAATAACGTGTATATATTGAGAAAAATGATAAAGCAACTTTGGTAAAATGTTAACATCTTGGTGAAGGACATATGGGAACTTTTTTTGTACTACTCTTGCAACTATTCTGTAAATCTGAAATTATGATGAAATAAAAAGTTAAAAAAAAACAATAACCCAGTAGTGAGCCTAGTGAACTGCTCTGGCTAATAAATAATCAGCAAACCAATTTGAGGGCCTGACTCTGCCCACTTGATGATGAGAAACAGGTATGTGTTCACCTAGCTTTCACTTCGCCCCTTTTCTGCTGTCATCCTAGATGGCTGAAAACTGAGGGGCAGTGTCCATCCACTTGGGGCCTCCTGGCCGCTTCCCTACCCAGTCTCCATGACATTTTCATCCATTTCACTTCAGCCACTGACTCTCCTGGTCCCATCCTTGAGCCACCTCCAAAATCACTCCTCAGACATCAACTTCCCATTTATCTAGTGTGTTTGTTCAGTTGCCCCCACTTACCTCTTCCCTAATCTCCACTGTCTCCCCCACCCCCATCTTTAATTCCAAGCTTTAATATTTACACCACATTTTTGCCAGTATCTTCAGCTTGCCCTTTGTCTGTCCTTCCATCCCACCATCTGGCAAACCCTACACCTGTATGAAGCCCGCCATGTTCCTTCGCTGCAGGCGTACCTGGGCTTCCGGGCATGTAGGGGAATTCACGGGACTGTGGGCACGGTGCCCTAAAAAGTCATTGTAACCAATCCCAAAGGGGCCTTCACACTGCCAGACCACCTTCCTTTCTTCATGAAGATTATTTCAGACTTTTCTATCTCCTCCTTCACTCTTAGCAGGTGACCTCAACTTTGCCACCAAATCTTAAAACTCCCCCGTCACCCACACTAATTCTGTCCTTCAGCTCCCTGTCGCACGGGAGAGTGCCCAACCACCCAGGCCAAGGCTGGTACCTCTGCCAGAGCGCTGAATCCCACCGGCTCCCCTCTCGACAGCAAGGGCCTTACCATCACCACTCCCTAACCTTAGCCTTCAAGCTCTCCGTTTCTACAGCTTCCCCCCTAAAAACACTGACATACCAAACACTGTAGACAGGGTGGCCTAAATAACAAGACAGTATTTCCTCACGGTTCTGGTTCTGGAGGCTGGAAGTCGGTGATCAGGGGGTCACGCGATCGGGGTCTGGGGAGCGCTCTGTCGCTGGCTTGCAGATGGCCTCCTTGCTGCATGCTCACAAGGCCTTCCTCCGTGTGCTCACGTGGACAGAGCTCTGCCGTCTCTCCCTCTTCTTCTAAGGGCGCTGATCCCATCACGGTGGCTCCATCTTCACGAACTCATGGAAGCCTAATTAACGCCCAAGGCCGCACCTGCTAACGTCATCACACCGGGGGACAGGGCCTCAACATAGGAGATCTGGGGGGACACAACACTCAGTCTATAGCAAACACATCTTTTTCTTTGGTGGTGGGAAAGTAAAGCCAAGTTCCTGCCCAAGAGCACCTATTTGCTTTTCCTCATCTTGTTAATCCTACTTAATTCAACAATGCTCTGAACAAGCAGGCCAATAGATTTTACTGTTCTACTCCTGCTCTCATCTCTAGTGCCTCCCACTGCCCCACGGCTGTAGGACAGACCCTTCTTTCTGGAATGAGGATGCCTCCTGGAGGAACCGGAGCCCTTCAGAGCACAAGGTGGCTGCCAGCCCTGTGGGTCAGCCCACGCTAGTCAGGGCGCTCTCATTACCACTGTGTAATTTCAAGGAAGGTGCCGAATGTCCCTCCACCTGGGTTTTCCCATTTCTCAAAGGAGGGATTGTGGCCTGGGCCTGCTTTAGGGTCCTGCCTAGCTGGGGAGAATCATAACTGGCCAAAGAGGGAATGGCAGAGGCCAGACTCCAGATCCCTGGTGCTGCCCTAGGTAGGTGAGGTGATGTCACCTTCCCGAGGAGCCAGGGGCCAGGTATGACACTCTTGGGCAGTCACACACCTGTGTCACTCTCACTTCTGGAGGAGGGGACAGCTCTGGATGTTGAATGATGAAGGGGATTTCGAGTGATCCGGACTCCACTCCTTGCCCACTGTGTGGCTCTGGGCAGGTCCCCTCACCTCTCTGATTCTCAGCTCCCTATTCTGTAAAAAGGGGGAATCTACTCACTGCCCCACATTTGGGAGGATAGAATGAGATAAGGCTGGTAAGGCGCCTGCCCAGGCACAAAATGGAGGCTGAGCAACACGAGCCTCCTCTCTCCCTGCCTCCAGCCTGGAAGAAAGAGCCAGGGAGCCCACAGCCATCTGCCAATAGGGTCGGCACAGGCCCAGGAGCCCACGGGGACTGTGGCTCCCCTCACATAGTGGTGCTATTGTTCCCGAGGAGGAGGGTCAGGAACGTGACTCTTGGGCGGGGGTGGGGGGAACGTGGGGGGGCACAGGGGCAGGGCAAGGGCTGTGAGCAGAGTTTGCCACAGAAAGCTCTTCACCCTAGAAAGGGCCTCTGGGCCTGCTGGCACCCTGAACAGCCCTGTACAGCCCTTTCCTGTCAGGGCTGGGCCTTTAGCTCAAAGGTGTTATTGGTGCAAGGGATAGTCCTCGTGATAGGGTCCGTCACCTGGCTTTCACAGGGCTTCTTGGGGGCGCTCCCAGGGGGCAGCCCCTGCTCTCCCCCGAGTCCCTCCATGTTTGCCTGAGCCTCACACCCTATGAATTACCTGGGAAAAGTCCCATATTCCACCTGTATTAATCTGCTAAAGCTGCCATAACAGACTGAGAGGATTAAACAATAGAAATAACGTTTTCTTACAATTCTGGAGGCTGGAAGCCCAAGATCGAAGTGCCGCCCAGGGCTGGGGCCTTCTGAGGCCTCCCTCCTGGGCTTGCCGATGGCCGTCGTCTCCCTGTGTCTCCACGTGGTCTTTCCTGTGTGTATGTACATGTCTGTGTCCACATTTCCTCTTCTTATTGGAATTCCGGCCATACTGGATTTGGACTTACCCTGATGACCCCATTGCAGCTCAATAACCTCCTTAAAGACTCTGTCTCCAAATACAGTCACACCCTGAAGCACTGGGGGATAGGACTTGAATATATGAACTCAGAGGGGCCACGTTTCA